TCCAGCAGGCCACAAATGTGCATGTGTCTGCTCAAACGGTCAGAAACAGACTCCATGAGGGTGGTATGAGGTCCCGACGTCCACAGGTGGGGGTTGTGCTTACAGCCCAACACCGTGCAGGACGTTTGGCATTTGCCAGAGAACACCAAGATTGGCAAATTCGCCACTGGCGCCCTGTGCTCTTCACAGATGAAAGCAGGTTCACACTGAGCACATGTGACAGACGTGACAGAGTCTGGAGATGCCGTGGAGAACGTTCTGCTGCCTGCAACATCCTCCAGCATGACCGGTTTGGCGGTGGGTCAGTCATGGTGTGGGGTGGCATTTCTTTGGGGGGCCGCACAGCCCTCCATGTGCTCGCCAGAGGTAGCCTGACTGCCATTAGGTACCGAGATGAGATCCTCAGACCCCTTGTGAGACCATATGCTGGTGCGGTTGGCCCTGGGTTCCTCCTAATGCAAGACAATGCTAGACCTCATGTGGCTGGAGTGTGTCAGCAGTTCCTGCAAGAGGAAGGCATTGATGCTATGGACTGGCCCGCCCGTTCCCCAGACCTGAATCCAATTGAGCACATCTGGGACATCATGTCTCGCTCCATCCACCAACGCCACGTTGCACCACAGACTGTCCAGGAGTTGGCGGATACTTTAGTCCAGGTCTGGGAGGAGATCCCTCAGGAGACCATCCGCCACCTCATCAGGAGCATGCCCAGGCGTTGTAGGGAGGTCATACAGGCACGTGGAGGCCACACACACTACTGAGCCCCATTTTGACTTGTTTTAAGGACATTACATCAAAGTTGGATCAGCCTGTAGTGTGGTTTTCCACATTAATTTTGAGGGTGACTCCAAATCCAGACCTCCATGGGTTGATAAATTTGATTTCCATTGATAATTTTTGTGTGATTTTGTTGTCAGCACATTCAACTATGTAAAGAAAAAAGTATTTAATAAGATTATTTCATTCATTCAGATCTAGGATGTGTTGTTTAAGTGTTTAAGTGTTTTTTGAGCAGTGTATAATCAGGTCTATATTTTTTATCTTAAGCTAACAAGGGGTAGGCCTATGGTTTTAGCCATTTTCTTTAACAAAAGCCACAATACCCTCACATACCCCCTCAATTCAAGCCCTGGTTTTAACTTAACACACCAAGCCCTTCAGTTACACCGAGATATTAAGGAGTGCATGATGACTGAAGGTATTGGCTGACAAAATCTATAGATAGTAGACTATAATTTAGTCTGTCAAACAGGTAGGCCTACCTCTTATTTCTTGAATAGGAAGAAATAGGCTCCAACATAAAGCTGTCTTGTTAATAGCCTAAAGTCAAATTAAAATGAAGAATGTTTAAACGAATTAGCACCCATGCGCTGTCCATCCATAAATTACTAGAATATGGCTTATTGTGAGGTCAATAACTCTGATAAATAGCTTCATCATGGTCAACGAAACACTGTTTTTATTAAAAATCAATTACAGCAGTAGCAAGCTTATCTCCGTTCCTCATCTTCACGCTCTCCGTCTCAAAGTGAGCAGGACATCAGTAGTCCTAGTCCGCGCACACAGCTATTGCATTTCTTTGACAACTAAAATATTTTTGGAAGAAGCCTTTGACTTGCCTCCTGAAGTGCCACCATACACAGCACAGCCATTGGTTAGGCAACACAAAAGGGTTTACATCAGCAAGAGCAGGGCAGGGCCCATGATTGTGATGGCCTATCCATTGGAGTGTGTAATGCAGTGTAACCTATTTTATATACACCCTCCCAGCAGCGCAAAAACTCAAAGTACTTAAAAAATATAACTTTGCCCTGTGCTTCTCCGAGAATACTCTTCGTATAGCCTAGGCCTATAGATCATTTCAATGAGACCACACTAGGCGCACTTGATATTGCGCACCCAGCAGAGAATCAGGGATGAGGGGCAGCATCAGGCACACAAATATATGCAACTAATTCTCAAACACTGAGCAATATGACATTTAATTTATTACAAATTACATGACCCTCCCCGACTGAAATTTAAAAAGCATGACCCTCCCCCATTTTCCTTCGGGTAACAATTGTGTAAATTTTGACCGCTCCCTAAAGGAAACATACTGTTGTGAGTGTTGCCATTCTTTATATATATATATATCACACTCACAATCTGAAATCATGTGTGTGTACATTGTACAATCACTTAGTGAGAACCTCAAAAACCACATTTGTATACAGTGGGGAAAAAAAGTATTTAGTCAGCCACCAATTGTGCAAGTTCTCCCACTTAAAAAGATGAGAGGCCTGTAATTTTCATCATAGGTACACGTCAACTATGACAGACAAAATGAGGAAAAAAAATCCAGAAAATCACATTGTAGGATTTTTTATGAATTTATTTGCAAATTATGGTGGAAAATAAGTATTTGGTCAATAACAAAAGTTTCTCAATACTTTGTTATATACCCTTTGTTGGCAATGACACAGGTCAAACGTTTTCTGTAAGTCTTCACAAGGTTTTCACACACTGTTGCTGGTATTTTGGCCCATTCCTCCATGCAGATCTCCTCTAGAGCAGTGATGTTTTGGGGCTGTCGCTGGGCAACACAGACATTCAACTCCCTCCAAAGATTTTCTATGGGGTTGAGATCTGGAGACTGGCTAGGCCACTCCAGGACCTTGAAATGCTTCTTACAAAGCCACTCCTTCGTTGCCCGGGCGGTGTGTTTGGGATCATTGTCATGCTGAAAGACCCAGCCACGTTTCAACTTCAATGCCCTTGCTGATGGAAGGAGGTTTTCACTCAAAATCTCACGATACATGGCCCCATTCATTCTTTCCTTTACACGGATCAGTTGTCCTGCTCCCTTTGCAGAAAAACAGCCCCAAAGCATGATGTTTCCACCCCCATGATTCACAGTAGGTATGGTGTTCTTTGGATGCAACTCAGCATTATTTGTCCTCCAAACACGACGAGTTGAGTTTTTACCAAAAAGTTATATTTTGGTTTCATCTGACCATATGACATTCTCCCAATCCTCTTCTGGATCATCCAAATGCACTCTAGCAAACTTCAGACGGGCCTGGACATGTACTGGCTTAAGCAGGGGGACATGTCTGGCACTGCAGGATTTTAGTCCCTGGCGGCGTAGTGTGTTACTGATGGTAGGCTTTGTTACTTTGGTCCCAGCTCTCTGCAGGTCATTCACTAGGTCCCCCCGTGTGGTTCTGGGATTTTTGCTCACCGTTCTTGTGATCATTTTGACTCCACGGGGTGAGATCTTGCGTGGAGCCCCAGATCGAGGGAGATTATCAGTGGTCTTGTATGTCTTCCATTTCCTAATAATTGCTCCCATAGTTGATTTCTTCAAACCTAGCTGCTTACCTATTGCAGATTCAGTCTTCCCAGCCTGGTGCAGGTCTACAATTTTGTTTCTGGTGTCCTTTGACAGCTCTTTGGTCTTGGCCATAGTGGAGTTTGGAGTGTGACTGTTTGAGGTTGTGGACAGGTGTCTTTTATACTGATAACAAGTTCAAACAGGTGCCATTAATACAGGTAATGAGTGGAGGACAGAGGATCCTCTTAAAGAAGAAGTTACAGGTCTGTGAGAGCCAGAAATCTTGCTTGTTTATAGGTGACCAAATACTTATTTTCCACCACAATTTGCAAATAAATTCATTAAAAATCCTACAATGTGATTTTCTGGATTTTTTTCTCAATTTGTCTGTCATAGTTGACGTGTACCTATGATGAAAATTACAGGCCTCTCTCATCTTTTTAAGTGGGAGAACTTGCAAAATTTGTGGCTGACTAAATACTTTTTTTCCCCACTGTATATATCCACCGAACACATAAATCGTGCAAATTGGTTCCGGTTTCAGTCATGTCTTTGGTCACATTTGCGTGGGTCAAAGAAAAACACCCTAATGATTGGTTGACAATAGAGCCTCGCACAATGCAGGCAATCCCTGCAGGATGAAGTTGAACAGCAGACAACTGCAGTCAATACTTCATGACCTTTAATCACATGATTCTTGTCAAGTTAATGTATTTGATATGTAGGTCCAAGTCAGACAAGTTTTTATCCCCAGAAGAGATGGTCACCACCTTTCAACGTGATCCACTCGAAAGCGCCCATTGAGATGAGAACATGCAAGACTGCACGCACAGTCACACGGAGTATCTGCGCATGCTTCACGCAGCAGCTACGAGACCAAAACAGCGGAGAAGTTTAGCCTTGCAATTCAACCCTCCTGGTTGTTGCGGATATTGACCTACTACTGTTTACGCCGTGCATCTAGGTCATCTTGCGGAGTCTAACTTTAAACCTATCACCTTATGTATTACTGCCCCACAGTGGCAGGAAGGGACATCCCCAAAAATTATACAACACATACATGGAGCCTAGCCTCCCACACATCAGTCCCTAACACTAAATAACATAAAAACAAAATACGTTTTTATAAAATTTGAAATAAAAACTAGTAAAGTGGATATGAAAATTGAAACTAATAATCTTAATAGAAATAAAATGGAATATAAAAATACAAAACTATAATAACCTCAAATCAGGGACTGATTTAGACAGGGTGCAATTCATTATCAGGTAGACCAGAAAACTAGCAGGCTCCGGACCTTGTAGGGTAAGAGTTGAATACCCCCATCCTATATAATACGACAGACAACATTCCTTAGAAATGTTGCTTTCACCTATCCTGTGTCCTCATATCAGTGCAGCTGAAGAAAAGACAGGGAGAGGAATTATGCATCCCACCACTCAGTACACACAACTACCACATCAGTTCACATTTTATTTAAAAAGACTTAGAACTCTGGAACAGTGCTTACATGCTTTTAGACATTGAAAACAAAAGCAGAATCTCTTGATCTGATCAGAAACAAAAATCTGTAACAGCCCTCTGTAGGGACACTCAAATCAACTCCTAGCCCCTAAACACTAGGCCCTAGTGGAGATCTGAGAGGGTTGGATACATATAATATGGTGGTAGCTCCATCTTGCACATAGGTGGCTAGGGTGTAGGGGCTAGGAAGGGTTGATTTGGAATTGACAGTCTCTGCCCTCGGCTCCTCCAGGGCACCTGGAACCTGTAGTCTCTACACTGGCATGGTTAGAGTTCTTAGCTACTCAGAAAGAGATTCTTAAAGTTCATCTTTGCTCTGTGATAACTTTGTGGCGTGCTGTTCCAAGAACTTACTAAATCCTTCTATGGTTCTATCCTCACCCTCAAATTTGATTGGGCTCTGCTTGCTGTTGCTAGGCGCAAAGTAGATGGTGGGGAAGCCCTCTGTTTTGTAGCTGTCGTGAGGCACGTCGTTAGCTGTGGCGTCCATTTTGGCGATGACCAAGTTCTTCTCGTTCTTGTATTTCTTGCCCAGGGCGGTGTAGTCGGGTTCCAGCTTCTTACAGTGACCGCACCACGGGGCGTAGAACTCGATCAGGACATCTTTCTTGGTATCCATGACAATGTCGTCGAAGGTCTTCCCAACCACTACCGTCACGGGGCCTTTGTTGTTCTTGGGCACCGGCTGGGATTTGATGATGGGTTTCAGTTTGCCTACAGAGAGGGAGAGACAGAAACGGACACTAATGTATAGTCCATTACACGATATTGGCAATAAAGACCTGTCACATACTGATGATATTTGGCTGGCTGCAGACAAGGAACCCAACTCAGGTTAATATGTAACTCAATACAACATGTTGTGGTGAAGCTCACCTTTCTTGAAGGCCATGATGAAGTCCCTCAGCACCTCAGAGTCAAACTCCTCAGGCTCCATGGCAAACTTCTTGCCGCCATCTCCCAGAATCCCCACATTGACTTCCTCCCCGCTGTCGCTGAGCCCCAGGCTCTTCAGCTCGTCTGAGTAATCCTCCTCGTCAGCGATGGCAAAGGTGTATTCTGGGAAATCCTTGGCCACCTCCAGAACCTTGCTCCTCCAGAATTGGGTGGCTGGAACAGAGATAGAAAGGGTTATGAGGCATGAGATGAGTTGCAATTAACCCAGCCAAGGTTCTCCAACCGCAGGTCCTGGAGGAGAGCTACTGGCAGTGCAGGCTTTTGTTCCAGCCCTTCAACCTGACAAAAAGGTATTATGGAAGCTATGCAGCTTTAGACTCTGGAAAGAGACAATATTCACATAACATAGGAAATAAGGAGTTGAGGACACTCGCCTTTCCTGAAGTCGAAGCTGAAGTCCACTCCGTAGTATACAACGACCAGCGGCCTCTTGGTGTAGCGTTTAGCGTCATTGCTCTGTTTCCTGTGACCCACCAGTGGCAGGATGTGTTTCTTAAAAAAGTCCTGCACCTCAGACACCTCTGTGGAGTCCTGAAAGGAGAGATAAGCCAGATCTTACAACATTAAACATACATAAATCATTTCAGCACTTTAGGTCAGGAGAGCATGCTTCATTGAAGTCTACTAGAGGTTAGACAAACACACACACACCTTATGGACAGACTTACTTTGATGGTGAGTGTGTGTGAAGCTTTCTCGTACTTGGACCTGAACTTCTCAGGCTGCACCATGACGACCTGGCCGGGGGAGGCCTTGAGGAGCTTGGCCATGTCTGAACTGAAGGTGTGGAGGAACTTGAAGTCCTCTCTCAGAACGTGACCTGGGAGGACAGAGAGGAGGGGAACCCAGGGACAGGGACACTGAGCACAATGCTACAATACAATCACTATTGATCCCCTTTAGAAAGCCTCACCAGGAGCACAGGAATTTGCTATACACCCTCAATACTACACATACAGCATTCTATGTATAGTCATACTCCGGGTTCGTAAAGACTGCGACAAGTCAAATTCAAGGACTTAGGTACTTTTTCAAGCACTAATATTTATTTTCAAGGACCATCAATTTGGAGAAGTTCATATTAAGTAATTGTTTCTAGTCGCCACCAGATGGCAGTATATCGCCACAACCTCATGGGGGGGGGGGGCAGACAGTATTCATCACTACCTTACAAGTCCTACTCAATAATGTGTCGTTTCTAGGGCTGTAAAACATCTTGGTCAATTTTAAAACGTGTAGTTTTCCCTATATAGACACACCCTATGTCTTTTAACAAAATCAACTACACTGTATGTAGGCTACTGAGCTTGTCTTATGCTTTAAGCACACTGTGATTAAATAATCAAGACACACAAATGACACAAGAGGGAGCCAGAGAGCAAGAAAGCCTAACCAGAAAAACAACAAAAACACTGTTGTTGTTGCCTTTGCAGATTCTGCCATTAAGCTCCTGAAGTTACCGGTAGGTAATAGACTACACAGGGGTCGTCAACCTTTTCCATTTAGAATGGCAATTTATCTTACCATTTCTACCGATCTGCGTGCCAGTTATGATTTTCATACGCACATTTTCGTGGAACAGTTTCATTTATAATAAAGCCTTCGTATCTCAAAATCATTATGTGGTTAATCAAAATTCTAAAAGTAACTTATATTGCCAACTACGTAAATAATAGCAGGTAGAAAATATCCTGAAAAATAAATCTATAAATCACATTGGCTACGCATGGCCTGTCTGCAAGGAACTTGAAACATTGTATCAACTATTAACTTGGTCAGGCCTGAAGCTGGTGCTATCAAACTTGCAACATTGTATAAAATATCCTGAGCCCTCAGTTTCCTGTCCCAGTGAGCTCCGGACAGACACAGCTGTAGGCTATTTTGCGCAAGGGATAAGAAGTAATCAGGTAAGCCTATTTTATGACGTTTCCACCGGATCAGAGCATGACATTTTTTTCCCCTATCATGCGGAGTGGTTATCGAAAGAGAGCTGGAAAGATTTTTCAAATTGACAATAGTTCCTCAACATAGCCTCTCAATGGATGTAAAAACAGACTGTTTACTTGCTGTTTGAGGTGAAGAAAAAAATACTTTGAGAACTCACCACCACTGTGGAGCCTAAGAATCAGAAATAATATCAGATCCGCAAATGGGCACATTTATAGGCTTACATTTGCACGCAGGCCAGGTAGCCTAGGCCTACTTCAAATAGAAATCAGGTGTGTGCCCTTACGCAACATTGACAAGCACGCTACAAAACAAAAGACAATGAATAAATTGACAACTTGTAAATGGAATGAAATAAACCAACACTTGTTCCTCACAAGTGTAACCTAGGTTGTGCAGTACGCAAACGTGTCCACTTCGACAAGGAGAACGGTAAATGACTAATAATAATAACAACAACAATTCGAATGCATTAACAAATGACCATAACCAAACAAAGATTGTAGATTATAAATGGTGGGAATTAACGATAAATGTACTACTGGTGTGCCATCCTCGTAGCCTCTGCAATGGATTAGTCCACTGAGACAGGCATGAAATCAGACAGGTGTCTCGTGTGCTAGCTAGCTAGATATATATACACACAGTGCATTCGGAAAGTATTCAGACCCCTTGACGTTTCCACTTTGTTACGTTACAGCCTTATTCTAAAATGGTTTAAATACATTTTCCCTCAATCTACACACAATACCCCATAATGACAAAGCACACAGGTTTTTAGAAATGTTTGCAAATTTATTAAAAATAAAAAAAACACCCTTAAGTATTCAGACCCTTTGCTATGAGACTCAATTGAGCTCAGGTGCAGCCTGTTTCCATTGATCATCCTTGAGCTGTTTCTACAACGTGATTGGAGTCCACCTGTGGTAAATTCAATTGATTGGACATGATTTTGAAAAGGCACCAGTCTATATAAGGTCCCGCAGTTGACAGTTCATGTCAGAGCAAAAACCAAGCCATGAAGTTGAAGGAATTGTCCGAAGCGCTCCGAGACAGGATTGTGTCGAGACACAGATCCGGGGAAGGGTACCACAACATTTCTGCAGCACTGAAGGTCCCCAACAACACAGTGGCCTCCATCATTCTTAAAATGGAAGAAGTTTGGAACCACCTAGACTCTTCCTAGAGCTGTCCGCCCGGCAAAATTAAGCAATCGGAGGTGACCAAGAACCCGATGGTCACTCTGACAGAGTTCCTCTATGGAGATATAAACTTCAAGAAGGACAAACATTTCTGCAGCACTCCACCAATCAGGCTTTTATGGTAGAGTGGCCAGACGGAAGCCACTCCTAAGTAAAAGGCACATGACAGCCCGCTTGGAGTTTGCCAAAAGGCACCTAAAAGGACTCTGACCATGAGAAACAAGATTCTCTGGTCTGATGAAACCAAGATTGAACTCTTTGGCCTGAATGCCAAGCGTCACGTCTGGAGGAAACCTGGCACCATGCCTACGGTGAAGCATGGTGGTGGCAGCATCATGTTGTGGGGATGTTTTTCAGCTGCAGAGACTGGTAGACTAGTCAGGATCGAGGTAAAGCTGAACGGAGCAAAGTACAGATAAATTATTGATGAAAACCTGCTCCAGAGCGCTCAGGACCTCAGACTGGGGCGAAGGTTCACCTTCCAACAGGACAATGACCCTAAGCACACAGCCAAGACAACGCAGGAGTGGCTTCGGGACAAGTCTCAATGTCCTGGAGTGGCCCAGCCAGAGACCGGACTTGAACCCGATCGAACATCTCTGGAGAGACCTGAAAATAAGGGCTACGTGCAGGCCAGTCAAGTTCTTCCACACCTATCTCAACAAATCATTTCTGTATGGACTTTGCTCTGTGCACGGGGGCATTCTCATGCTGAAACAGGAAAGGGCCTTCCCCAAACTGCCACAAAGTTGGGAGCGCAGAATTGTCTAGAATGTCATTGCATGCTGTAGCGTTAAGATTTCCCTTCACTGGAATTAAGGGGCCTAGCCCAAACCATGAAAAACAGCCCGAGGCAATTATTCCTTCTCCAAACTTTACAGTTGGCACTATGCATTCGGGCAGGTAGCGTTTTCCTGGCATCCGACGGACAAATCTGGGTTTGGCGGACTGCCAGATGGTGAAGCTTGACTCATCACTCCAGAAAACGCCTTTCCAATGCTCCAGAGTCCAATGGCGGCGAGCTTTACACCACTCCAGCCGACGCTTGGCATTGCGCATGGTGATCTTAGGCTTGTGTGCGGCTGCTTGGCCATGGAAACCCATTTCATGAAGCGCCCGACGAACAGTTCTTGTGCTGACGTTGCTTTGAGGCAGTTTGGAACTCGGTACTGAGTGTTGCAACCTAGGACAGACGATTTTTACATGCTTCAACACTCGGCGGTCCCGTTCTGTGAGCTTGTGTGGAGTACCACTTTGTGGCTGAGCTGTTGTTGCTCCTAGACGTTTCCACTTCACAATACCAGCACTTACAGTTGACTGGGGCAGCTCTAGCAGGGCAGAAATTTGACGAACTGACTTGTTGGAAAGGTGGCATCCTATGACGTTGCCACGTTGAAAGTCACTGAGCTCTTCAGTAAGGCCATTCTACTGCCAATGTTTGTCTATGGAGACTGCATGGCTGTGTGCTCGATTTTATACACTTGTCAGCAACAGGTGGATGAAATAACAGAATCCACTAACTTGAAGGGGTGTCCACATACTTTTGTATATATAGTGTACAGAAGTGGTAAGTCAGTATTGATGATTTTGTATTTTGAGTAGTGATGAGCAGAGTTTTGGGACATGCCTACTGGTGAACAAACGTTTCCTATTCGCATTACTACACAATTCCAGCTTAATTACATTTACATTTAAGTCATTTAGCAGACGCTCTTATCCAGAGCGATTTACAAATTGGTGCATTCAACTTAGGATAGCCAGTGGGACAACCACCCTTTATTTTTTTTAATGGGGGGTGGGGGAGTAGAAGGATTACTGTTATACTATTCCAGGTATTCCTTAAAGAGGTAGGGTTTCAAGTGTCTCCGGAAGGTGGTCAGTGACTCCGTTGTCCTGGCGTCGTGGGGGAGCTTGTTCCACCATTGGGGTGCCAGAGCAGCGAATACCTTTGACTGGGCTGAGCGGGAACTGTGCTTCCGTAGAGGTAGGGGGGTTAGCAGGCCAGAGGTGGATGAACGTAGTGCCCTCATTTGGGTGTAAGGTCTGATCAGAGCCTGAAGGTAAGGAGGTGCCTTTCCCCTCACAGCTCCGTAGGCAAGCACCATGGTTTTGTAGTAGATGCGAGCTTCAACTGGAAGCCAGTGGAGTGTGCGGAGGAGCGGGCGACATGAGAACTTGGGAAGGTTGAACACCAGACGGGCTGCAGCGTTCTGGATAAGTTGTAGGGGTTTAATTGTGCATTTGGGAATCTACTACTTAATGAAGTGTCTTGCTTCCGGTCGAGAGAAGGGCGGATGGGTTGTTTGAGGAAAACGGCAAGTGAACGGCCACCAGAACGGCTGCCACTTGATTAAGCGGAATATTGCAGGCGCCCCGTGAAGGAGGCGATTGGCAGAAAAGCTCTGGAGGTTGTTGCAGTGAAAAAGTAAATGTAGAACTGGCGCCAGCGTAGGATGCAGCGTTGTGTCTTTCCCCCTTCATGAGTCTCTTCAGGACCGATTTCACCAAAGCTCGCAATGTCAAAGTCTGACGCATGCTTTTCACCTTACACGGTGTGGGTTGGTTGGGTCCAGTGATGTAGTGGTAAAAAAAGGTAGGTAAACTCTACTGAACAAAAATATAAAACGCAACATGTAAAGTGTTGGTCCCATGTTTCATGAGCTGAAATAAAATATCCCAGACATTTTCCATACGCACAAAAGGCAGGATTGAATCTACATTTTACCGTCTTTTTAGCTATCGATGTGACGTTTGGCGGCGCCTAATCAGTCAGTTCTGTACCTGCCAAGCTAAGTGGCAGTGTGGGTGGAATGAGTGAGCTCGCCTGGCAACCACAGCGCAAAACACGTGAGGAAATAAAACTCTGTAGTCTGCCTGGAAATTAATTCACAAGACCAATACATTTTTCTAATATTTGATCATTGTCTGTTCTCTCATTTTAATTCAAGTACCAATTTGAGAAAATGTCAGATTTTCAAGGTATTCCAGTACTTGAATTTCAGAGTGCCAAATTCAAGTACTTTAAGCACGTAAAGCACCTTGTGCGAACCCTGCATACTGTGTACACCAAAGCATTGTTAATAAAAAAAGATTGAATACTTACAGGCCTCTAGGTAGAGGTCGTAGGTCGTATCCTGCTCCGAGGAGAACACGCCCACTATGACAGCGTCGTCGCCATCTTTGATAAACTCTTGCACCTGTTTCACCATCTGAACCTGCTTGGAGGGAGGCCCCGCCTGCTCGCTCATATAGTCAACGATTCCTACACAGAGAGAACACAGATTAGTTAGTACGCTCGGCTATTATCATTAACATGGGATGTGTCCTAAAATCCATAATGTTAGCAGATATATTTAGTCATGGGGTAGTGTCTGAAACAGTCTGAAGTGTGGACGTACCAATCTTCTCTCTGGGTCCGTTGTAGTCAAAGGCCTTCCCCTTCCTAAAGATCTTGAGGGTGGGGTACCCCGACACCCCGAAGCGGATGGCGATGTCCTTCTCCTGGGTGGCGTCTACCTTGGCCAGGGGGATGGGAGGAGAGCGCTGGCTCAGGGCCTTGGCTGCCTTCTCATACTCTGGAGCCAGCTGCTTACAGTGGCCACACCTGGAGGGACAGTTATAACAGCACCATAAAGCTTCGTAAGGCAGGAACAACAGTCATGAAGCTTCATCTCCTCCGCTCCTTTACTGGTTGGAAAACACAAAGGAAGTGATAGATTTTATGCATCAGATCAGTGCAGATAAAGCAAAGGAGAAAAGGACATGAAGTGGGACTGACCATGGGGCATAGAACTCCACCAGGATGATGTCAGCGTTGTTGACCACCTCGTCAAAGCTGTCCTTGGTCAGCACCAATGTGGCCTCTGGAGGGGGCTTCCAGTCCGGCTGGGCCACCTCCTTCACTCGAGCCACAATGGCTGAAACACAGCCACAGTTACCACATTAATAATACTACTAAACTTAAACTGGAAGGGGGTTGCAATCCAGTCCGGCTGGGTTACCTTCACTCGCGCCACAATGACTGAAACACAATCACAGTTTAGACATTAGCAATGTTACTGAAGTGAAACTAAGTTAGCAGCCTGTGTACCAGTCTGTTTCCGCTTCAGTCAAACAAGGTGAAGATGTACTAGCGTAGTCAAATAGAGAAACAGAGACAGTCAGGCTATTAGCTCAGTCTTGTTAGTGGTTGTCCTACCCTGCTCATTCCTGGCTCCATCATACTCCACAGGCTCCCCCTTCTTCATGATCTTGAAGGTGGGATATCCCGACACCTCGAATCTACTCCCTAAGGAACTGGCCTTGGTCGCGTCCACCTTGGCCACAGGGATAGGGGGGTCATTCTCTTTCAGACTCTGGGCGATCTTCTCATACTCAGAAGCAAACTGCTTACAGTGGCCACACCTGGGAGAGGGGATGAGAACAGATTAGAGAAGTGTTAATCAAGGGGGAAATGATTTCAGTGGTGCAGATATCCCATGCATATTTGAGATTAAGGCCTGCCGGGTTTTCCTACTGCATATTGGCTACCAGGAGCTGCACAATAGATGATGTGGATGGACACGTCTCCAATGACTGACAAATATTGACTTCATTACTGTGAACTCTCCCTTTATGCAAACTTACCATGGGGCATAGAACTCAACCAGCACAGTGTCCTTGCCCTCCATGAACGTGTCGAAGTTGTTGTCGGTCAGGACCAACACTCCATTCTCATCCTTCACCTCTGTTCCATCATCTTCATCCTCCTCTTCATCATCACTGTCATCACCCTCGTCGACTTCCTCTGCTACATCTGCAAACATCATGGATAACAGTGTGAAATCAACAGAATGTCTAGCAACAATAGCCAGGACAGTGCAGTTGGGTTTGGGTTGCAACAAAACCTAGCTCTCGAAAACCCAGGGGAGCTTACAGCAGGCCCCCCTTTTGGGTTCTCAGCTGAAGGCATGGAACATTTTACTGAGTTACAGTTCATACAGTATAAGGAAATCAGTCAATTGAAATAAATTCATTAGGCCCTAAACTATGGATTTCACATGACTGGGAATAAAGATGAGTATGTTGGTCACAGATTCCTTTAAAAAAGGTAGGGGCGTGGATCAGAAAAACAGTCAGTATCTGTTGTGACCACCATTTCAGGATCTTGTCACAGTATCTATGTGCATTAAAATTGCCATCGATAAAATGTAATTGTGTTCATTGTCCGTAGCTGATGCCTGCCCAGACCACATAACCCCACCATGGGGCACTCTGTTCACAACGTTGAAATCAGCAAACCTCTCGCCCACACGACGCCATACACTGTCTGCCATCTATCTGCCCGGTACAGTTGAAACCGTGATTAATCCATGAAGAGCACACTTCTCCAGCGTGCCAGCGGCCATCGAAGGTGAGCATTTGCCCACTGAACTCAGTTACGATGCAGAACTGCAGTCAGGTCAAGACCCTGGTGAGGACGATGAGCACGCACATGAGCTTCCCTGAGACGGTTTCTGACAGCTTGTGCAGAAATTCTTTGGTTGTGCAAACCCAGTTTCATCAGCTGTCCAGGTGGCTGGTCTCATACGATCCCGCAGGTGAAGAAGCCGGATGTGGTCCTGGGCTGGCATGGTTACATGTGGTCTGCGGTTGTGTGGACGTACTGCCAAATTCTCTAAAACAATGTTGGAGGTGGCTTCTTGTAGAGAAACTAACATTAAATTATCAGCTCTGGTGGATATTCCTGCAGTCAGCATGCTCCCTCAAAACTTGACATTGTGTTGTGTGACAAAACTGCACATTTTAGAGTGGGCTTTTATTTTCCCCAGCACAAGGTGCACCTGTGTAATGATCATGCTGTTTAATCAGCTTCTTGATATACCACACCTGGTGGATGTATTGAACTGCGTACAGTAATTGTATCTTTTGTATTAGAGAATTGAGGTGTATTTGCGTTTATACATAACATTTGTGCAGCGTTGGGGCACTTTCCTCACAAGGTTAAAGAAATGGGTCGTCCATTGACCCAATGTTATGCAATGGAATTGTAGTCATGATAAGGGCTAAACAAAACCATGCTGCAACATTACGCGCGTGCACACACAACATTCTATAAAAACTAGCCAGCAGTTTAGTTAACAACTAGCTAGCTAGTTACCCAACTAGCTAATGAATAAGAGCTGACCGGCCAACAATTATAACGACAGGAGAAGCCAACTAGCGTGTAAACGACCTGACTAACTTAATTAATTACTAACTAACGTTAGCTAGCTACTTACCATCTTCTTCACATTGGATGACAGTGGCAAAGTGGGCAACGCCAAGCAAGACAATTAGCAGCAGCGCTATCTTTCTCATTGTCAGGTTTTCCAATGGGATGCTATCCGTGTAACGAGTGAGACTTCTCCCTTTAAACTAGTAACTGTCTATTATTAGCAATCTCTGTAGAGCTTGATCAATCCTAAAGTGAAGTTACAAATTGATCTTTGGCTTGTGGTTTCATACAAACTAGAAAGACTTCTGAAATCACGCTCCCCACCTCCCGAAATTGAACTTGTCTGACTTGCCACGTTCTAATTGGCTGTCATCATCGGTTTTCCTCCAATTGCGTACCGCCACTTAATTCCTGGATACAGGACGTTCGGGGGTGCCATTGGATAGTTGGCCAGTTGTTCTAATGTCATTGGACTGAATGGACAACTGTTTTTTCAACATGAAACAAGCAAAAGTTGTACGTGTACTTTTGATATCAAAAGGATCTTGGAGAGGTTTATTTTATTTATTGTGCAAGGACGTCTCTGTTTTGCTGCAACAATGCAACTGTCCTGTAAGCATATTAGTTAGTGAGCCGTGTTGTAATGTTCATTCTTTCAAGCAACAGTGTGCGCTCCACTCACACTATCCTGCACACCATTTATTTGAGAATGTATTTTACACACCATTTATTTATTTGTCTTTTACAACCAGGCACATTGTTTATTTAATGTTTTTGAAAATATACATGGTGACACATGCAGTAGCCTACTGAATACTTGTAATTAAGCCTGATTCACGCCACACAGACTATTTAAACATACTTTTTTTAATGTCCCTCTTGAATAGCATATTGATGAAGATAATTCATTCTTTCATTCATTAATTTGTTCATTCATTAGACTCTCCATACAGTGTCAGCCCCAGCACTGTCGGACTGTCCCTAGGATTCCCTCCCCCTCCACTGGTTCAGTCTCCGGGCTCCCATGGACCATAACCTCCACCACAGCCCTGTGTGGCCCTCCATGGCCCTCCACCACCCCAGAAGCAGGGGTATGTATGGGGCTGGGCTCCTCTACTGTAGCCCTGTGGGTGTTTCTCGGCCTTCTGTGGCTCTTCTTATCAGACCGACCGACAGTGTTCCAGTGGCTGATCTGATTCTCCAGAACCACAGTCTTAACCAGCTGATTCTCTATCCAGCCTGTTAGGCTCTGGATCTGAGGCAAGTTGTCCCATGTCCGAGCCTCAGCTACATGCTCCGTGTCTGGGGAGGAGAGGTAGCTTGGCCCCCCTATGGAGGTGGAGCTCTGGAGGTTTCTGTCTGAGGGGAGAGATATAGTCTCTGATGGGTGCTCTCGGGAGGTCCTCCCTGGTGCTCCACTACGCAGGGGACTGCCGGATGTCCCAACCCTACTTGAGAGTCCTCCGGCTGGGGTCTGCCTCCTCTGGTCTGACTGCTGCAGATGGTGGAGGGTCTCCAACTGAAGCTGAGACCTGGGGTGGAAATAAAAACAACTGGTTAACAACCCAGGCCATCTGAGTGACTCAGGGCTATGCTAGCTAACTGAGCTAAAGCCTAAACATAAACTCAAATAGTAAAGTAGTCATTGGGCTAACATAGTTCAGTGAATCACCTCTGCCATTCTATGGCAGGCTTATGCTGTTTTTGATGTGAATTATATTTTGTTGTGGTTTTACCTGTAGTGATGTGTGTCAGGTGAGTGTTCCCTGGAGGTCAGTGGGAGGTTGGTGATGTCAGGGGGATCATTGGGAAGAGTCTCTTCAGTCATGTGTGCTGTTTCACTGGCAGCAGAGCGCTACAAAATAAACAAACACCATTAAAACTGTGCTGGCATCAGGGACAGCTCATGAGATGGTGGCAAGTTCAAATCCAAAGTGAGACATATAAATCATATACAGTGAGGAAAAAAGTATTTGATTCCCTGCTGATTTTTACGTTTGCCCACTGACAAAGACATGATTAGTCTATAATTGTAATGGTAGGTTTATGTGAACAGTGAGAGACAGAATAACAACAAAAAAATCCAGGAAAACGCATGTCAAAAATATTATAAATTGATTTGCATTTTAATGAGGGAAATAAGTATTTGACCCCTCTGCAAAACATGACTTAGTACTTGGTGGCAAAACCCTTGTTGGCAATCACAGAGGTCAGACGTTTCTTGTAGTTGGCCACCAGGTTTGCACACACCTCAGGAGGGATTGTGTCCCACTCCTCTTTGCAGATCTTCTCCAAGTCATTAAGGTTTCGAGGCTGACATTTGGCAACTCGAAACTTCAGCTCCCTCCACAGATTTTCTATGGGATTAAGGTCTGGAGACTGGCTAGGCCACTCCAGGACCTTAATGTGCTTCTTCTTGAGCCACTCCTTTGTTGCCTTGGCCATGTGTTTTGGGTCATTGTCATGTTGGAATACCCATCCACGACCCATTTTCAATGCCCTGGCTGAGGGAAGGAGGTTCTCACCCAAGATTTGACGGTACATGGCCCCGTCCATTGTCCCTTTGATGCGGTGAAGTTGTCCTGTCCCCTTAGCAGAAAAACACCCCCAAAGCATAATGTTTCCACCTCCATGTTTGACGGTGGGGATGGTGTTCTTGGGGTCATAGGCAGCATTCCTCCTCCTCCAAACACGGCGAGTTGAGTTAATGCCAAAGAGCTCGATTTTGGTCTCATCTGACCACAACACTTTCACCCAGTTCTCCTCTGAATCATTCAGATGTTCATTGGCAAACTTCAGACGGCCCTGTATATGTGCTTTCTTGAGCAGGGGGACCTTGCGGGCACTGCAGGATTTCTGTCCTTCACGGCGTAGTGTGTTACCAGCTGCCTTGAAATCATTGACAAGATCCTCCCGTGTAGTTCTGGGCTGATTCCTCACCGTTCTCATGATCATTGCAACTCCACGAGGTGAGATCTTGCATGGAGCCCCAGGCCGAGGGAGATTGACAGTTCTTTTGTGTTTCTTCCATTTGCGAATAATCTCACCAACTGTTGTCACCTTCTCACCAAGCTGCTTGGCGATGGTCTTGTAGCCCATTCTAGCCTTGTGTAGGTCTACAATCTTGTCCCTGACATCCTTGGAGAGCTCTTTGGTCTTGGCCATGGTGGAGAGTTTGGAATCGGATTGATTGATTGCTTCTGTGGACAGGTGTCTTTTATACAGGTAACAAACTGAGATTAGGAGCACTCCCTTTAAGAGTGTGCTCCTAATCTCAGCTCGTTACCTGTATAAAAGACACCTGGGAGCCAGAAATCTTTCTGATTGAGAGGGGGTCAAATACTTATTTCCCTCATTAAAATGCAAATCAATGTATAACAATTTGTACATGCGTTTTTCTGGATTTTGTTGTTGTTATTCTGTCTCTCACTGTTCAAATAAACATACCATTAAAATTATAGACTGATCATTTCTTTGTCAGTGGGCAAACGTACAAAATCAGCAGGGGATCAAATACTTTTTTCCCTCACTGTATACACTGGCGGGCTGGTTAAGACAGTGAAGGTGTGGGTGAGACACCCAGGTGTGCCCACCTGTGAGGCCAGGCTGGAGGGGTTCTGAGTGGTGGAGGAGAGCAGGCTGTCCTCCCTGTGGCGGAGGTCTTTAGGAGGTAGGGTGTGGTGCAGACTGTTAGAGAAGGCATTTAGTCTAAACAGCAGCTCATCCACCAGGCTCTCAAATTCCTCCAGGTAAAAACTCTGAGGAAAAAGAAATACATCAGCCAGTTAACCCCTTCCATACCTCAATCTCAACCACAATGTTGTTCTCTGCTTTCATTGACAGGCAAAGCAAAGCAGTCCTATCTCCGAAACTATCTTTCGGACATTAGCATGGAGGTCAAAGGTCACTCACTCTCCTGTGGGCATGGCTATCTGTCCATCTCTGTCTGCGTTGGCCAATGAGCACAGCCGCCCAGTCCCTGACGTAGCCAACCACGTCAGAGAGAGTCAGTAGGCTCCTCCTCCTACCGGCTCGTTTAGCAGCCCTCACTAACGAGGAGACCATTCCAATCACCTTGAGACAGACAGACAGGAGCAGAGGGTTTACAGCAGACTGAGGTAGCTTGCTTGGGTTGGATAAAGCAACAACAAAGTACAGGGTGATGTATACACACAGTACTCTAGGGTAGACTACGTGTATGTTTGTTGTCTCTGGATCCCCTTGGAAACTAGTTGATTTACAGTACCAGTCAAAAGTTTGGACACCTACTCATTCCAGGGTGTTTCCTTTATTTTTACTGTTTTCTACATTGTAGAATAATATTGAAGACATCAAAACTATGAAATAACACATATGGAATCATGTAGTAACCAAAAAAGTGTTCAACAAATCAAAATATATTTGAGATTTGAGATTCTTCAAATAGCCACCCTTTGCCTTGATGACAGCTTTGCACACTCTTGGCATTCTCTCAACCAGCTTCATGAGGTAGTCACCTGGAATGCATTTCAATTAACAGGTGTGCCTTGTTAAAAGTTAATTTGTGGAATTTCTTTCCTTCTTAATGCGTTTGAACCAATCAGTTGTGTTGTGACAAGGTGGGGGTGGTATACAGAAGATAGCCCTATTTGGTAAAAGACCAAGTCCATATTATGGCAAGAACAGCTCAAATAAGCAAAGAGAAATGACAGTCCATCATTACTTTAAGACATGGTCAGTCAATACAGAACATTTCAAGAACTTTGAAAGTTTCTTCAAGTGCAGTCGCAAAAACCATCAAGCGCTATGATGAAATTGGCTCTCATGAGGACCGCCACAGGAAAGGAAGACCCAGAGTTACCTCTGCTGCAGAGGATAAGTTCATTAGAGTTAATTGCACCTCAGATTGCAGCCCAAATAAATGCTTCACAGAGTTCAAGTAACAGACACATCTCAACATCAACTGTTCAGAGGAGACTGCGTGAATCAGGGTTTCATGGTCAAATTGCTGCAAAGAAACCACTACTAAAGGACCAATAAGAAGAAGAGACCTGCTTGGGCCAAGAAACCAGAGCAATGGACATTAGACCGGTGGAAATGTGTCCTTTGGTCTGGAGTCCAGATTTGAGATTTTTGGTTCCAACCGCCGTTTCTTTGTGAGACGCAGAGTAGGTGAATGGATGATCTCCGCATGTGTGGTTCCCACCGTGAAGCATAGAGGAGGAGGTGTGATGGTGTAGGGGGTGCTTTGCTGGTGACAATGTCTGTGATTTATTTAGAATTCAAGGCACACTTAACCAGCATGGCTACCACAGCATTCTGCAGCGATACGCCATCCCATCTGGTTTGCGCTTGTGATGGAGTGCTGCATCAGATGACCTGGCCTCCACAATCAACCGACCTCAACCCAATTGAGATGGTCTGGGATAAGTTGGACCGCAGAGTGAAGGAAAAGCAGCCAACAAGTGCTCAGCATATGTGGGAACTCCATCAAGACTGTTGGAAAAGCATTCCTCATGAAGCTGGTTGAGAGAATGCCAAGAGTGTGCAAAGCTGTCATCAAGGCAAAGGGTGGCTTAGAATCTAAAATATAAACACTTTTTTGGTTACTACATGATTCCATATGTGTTATTTCATAGCTTTGATGTCTTCACTATTATTCTACAATGTAGACAATAGTACAAATAAAGGAAACACCCTGGAATGAGTAGGTGTGTCCAAACCTTTGACTGGTACTGTATGTCAAGGGTTTATCAAACACAAATGTTTAATAACAGTATAATAAAAAGTGTTTAAAAAAGTTGAATGTGTACCAGTGCTGTCCAGGCCACAGTGAGGGTGAGACAGAGAGCTCCATGGTAGAAAGAGAAAGACAGGCTGTTGGAGCTGTGGAGCTGGTGGGGCTGAGAGGCCATGGACAGGGGGGGGTTCCGGGAGCCCAGTCGGCCCCTGGAGAGAGACAGGAGGGTGAGGACGGAGCGGGGCAGGGAGCTGAAACCCCAGGACCTCCTCAGGAGCAGCAGGTTTCCCACAGTGGACAGAGCGACCAACAGGACAGCTCCTGACACCTGGGGACCGAATAGAAAAGGTACAAACATCAGGACAAACTCTAGAAACATAATGACCTCTTGAATTCTGAACATAATGTGTATGACCTCTTGAATTCTGAACATAATGTGTATGACCTCGTGAATTCTGACCAATTTACTTTCACTTGAAGTACTGAACTGTACTGAACTGTCACTTGAAACTTCTTAAAAAACATTTAAATTAGGATGATTTATTTTTTAATAGTTTCCATGCGGACCGTGTGTAGGTAAAGGTAGAAGGTGAAAAGTTGCCCTGTCTGTGGGTTGTTTACCATTGGCCAGAGGAGTCTGGAGAAGGCGAGTCTGAGTAGAATCACTGAGGTGGCCATGGTTCTGTTAACCCCCGACAAACAAATACACTGCACCACCAGGAGGAAGAGCAGTACGCCACGCAGTGTACGGGTGTGCTGGAGATACAGAGGACTCATCATCATCATCATCAACATCATCATCATACACACACACCTCACTCTCTCCCATTCTCACCTGTTCCCAGGTAGACAGTAAGCTGACGTCGACATGCGTCCTGAAGTCGTGTCTCTGCAGCAGGTCAATGACCTCCAGAGTCAGAATGGAGTGGTAGATGTAGTAGATATAGTACACCAGGGTTACCAGGAGTATACTGACCTGGAGGGAGACAGAGAGAAGGGCAAACTGACCTATTATTGCTAAACAAACAGAAAGAAAATTCCTACTGAGATAAATGTTTGAAGGGTATAAAGTTCAGTGTGGTTTGCTTAGGACTGAGTATGAAGAGGCTTGCTTAATCACGATCGAACGATAGAAAGAGAACTCGTACAACTACAGTGAGCAGACACAGGTTTACAGAGAATGTATTGCTGTAGATACTGTATGAGAGTAGGGGGAGGGAGGGGGCTCTCTCTCACCTGGAGCCAGTTTTGGGGGTCTCTCAAGTATCCCAGCATGCCTTTCTCCCCGGCAGAACAGATCTGGAGGACGAGCTGGACCAGAGAGACGAGGAGGAAGAGGAGCTGGAGAGGAGAGATGAAGGCAAACAAAGCTACAGCTCATATTCACCTTCAGATATCATTGGCCTTCATGTCTGAGATAAGACTAATAGAATGGGCCTTTGTTCTAGCCCAGCTCACAGCTCACTGCTCACAGCTCACTTCTCACTGCTCACTGCTTATTGCTCGTAGTCCTGTGTGACAGTGGATGGAAAACTAGACCCTATCTGACTGAATGTGGAGGGTTGTTGTGGAGGGAAGAGGCTGGGTCAGGGGTGGGAAAACCCATTCGATCCGGGCTGCAGGAGGTTTGAGTAAAAAATAAAATATATACAGTATACACAGTTTACAAAACATTACCTTCCCCACCTTGATTCCAATGCTTCCCACAGTTGTGTGAAGTTAGCTGAATGTCCTTGGGTGGTGGACCATTCCTGATACACACGGGATACTGTTGAGCGTTAAAAATCCAGCAGCGCTGCAGTTCTTGACACAAACCGGTGTGCCTGCCACCTTCTACCATACCTCGTTCAAAGGCACTTACATCTTTTGTCTTGCCCATTCACCCTCTGAATGGCACACGTACACAATCCATGTCTCAAGACTTAAAAATCCTTCTTTAACCTGTTTCCTCCCCTTCATCTACACTGCTTGAAGTGGATTTAACAAGTGACATCAATAAGGGATCACAGCTTTCATATGGATTCACCTGGGCAGTCTATGTCATCAGCCTGGTCTCATAGACTAGACGTAACATAGTAAATATAAATCCGGGACACTCAAATTAGTATGATATGTTACGTTTGGTATGGTTACATAAGACAGATGGTTACCTAAGGCAAAAACGAGTGAGAGGGTGGGCGTATAAAGCGAACTTCTAGCAACTCAAACGTTACGAGTTTGAATCTCATCATGGACAACTTTAGCATTTTACCTAATTAGCAACTTTTCAACTACTTACTTATTTTTAGCTACTTTGCAACTACTTAGCATGTTAGCTAACCCTTCCCTGACCCTAACCTTAGCCCATTTAGCTAACCCTAACCTTAACCCTTTTAGCTAACATGCTGCCGTTTTACAGCCCTCTAACCAATTGTACTATTATGTGTGTTTTTCCGCGTTATTTGTAATTTATTTTGTACATAATGTTTCTGCCATCGTCTCTTATAACCAAAAAGAGCTTCTGGATATCAGGACAGCAATTACTCACCTCGTATTGGACGAAGATTTTTTCTTCAACGAGGCGGCCGCGAAGGATATCATACAGACACCCGACAAGGCCCAAATCCCCGTCATTCGCGTGTAGAAGAGATGGAGATATCGTGGACGTAGATCGGGGTGCCTTGTAAGGATCCGACGGCGAGCGAGTAAACTGCCTCTTCCATCAATCCTATTAGCCAATCTTCAATCATTGGATAACAAATTGGATGACCTAAGATTACGGTTATCCTACCAACAGGACATTAAAAACTGTAATATCTTATGTTTCACCGAGTCGTGGCTGAACGACGACATGGATAACATACAGCTAGCGGGCTATACGCTACATCGGCAGGATAGAACAGCTGACTCTGGTAAGACAAGGGGTGGCGGTCTGTATATATTTGTAAACAACAGCTGGTGCACAAAATCAAATACTAAGGAAGTCTCGAGGTTTTGCTCGCCTGAGGTAGAGTATCTTATGATAAGCTGTAGACCACACTATTTACCAAGAGAGTTTTCATCTATATTTTTCATAGCTGTCTATTTACCACCACAAACCAATGCTGGCATTAAGATTGCACTGAATGAGTTGTACAAGGCCATTAATCAACAGGAAAACGCTCATCCAGAGGCAGCGCTCCTAGTGGCCGGGGACTTTAATGCAGGGAAACTTAAATCCGTTCTACCTAATTTCTACCAGCATGTTAAATGTGCAACCAGAGGAAAAAAAACTCTAGACCACCTTTACTCCACACACAGAGACGCATACAAAGCTCTCCCTCGCCCTCCATTTGGCAAATCTGACCATAACTCTATCCTCCTGATTCCTGCGTATAAGCAAAAACTAAAGCAGGAAGCACCAGTGACTCGGTTAATAAAAAAGTGGTCAGATGACGCAGATGCTAAGCTACAGGACTGTTTTGCTAGCACAGACTGGAACATGTTCCGGGATTCTTCAGACAGCATTGAGGAGTACACCACATCAGTCACTGGCTTCATCAATAAGTGCATCGATGATGTCGTCCCCACAGTGACCGTACGTACATACCCCAACCAGAAGCCATGGATTACAGGAAACATCCGCACTGAGCTAAAGGGTAGAGCTGCCGCTTTCAAGGAACGGGACTCTAACCCGGACGCTTATAAGAAATCCCGCTATGCCCTCCGACGAACCATCAAACAGGCAAAGAGTCAATACAGGACTAAGATTGAATCGTACTACACTGGCTCTGACGCTCGTCGGATGTGGCAGGGCTTGAAAACTATTACAGACTACAAAGGGAAGCACAGCCGCGAGCTGCCCAGTGACACAAGCCTACCAGACGAGCTAAACCACTTCTATGCTCGCTTCGAGGCAAGCAACACTGAAGCATGCATGAGAGCACCAGCTGTTCCGGATGACTATGTGATCACGCTCTCCGTAGCCAATGTGAGTAAGACTTTTAAGCAGGTCAACATTCACAAGGCCGCAGGGCCAGACGGATTACCAGGACGTGTACTCCGAGTATGTGCTGACCAACTGGCAAGTGTCTTCACTGACATTTTCAACATGTCCCTGACTGAGTCTGTAATACCAACATGTTTCAAGCAGACCACCATAGTCCCCGTGCCCAAGGACTCTAAGATAACCTGCCTAAATGACTACCGACCCGTAGCACTGACGTCTGTAGCCATGAAGTGCTTTGAAAGGCTGGTCATGGCTCACATCAACAGCATTATCCCAGAAACCCTAGACCCACTCCAATTTGCATACCGCCCCAACAGATCCACAGATGATGCAATCTCTATTGCACTCCATCTGCCCTTTCCCACCTGGACAAGAGGAACACCTACGTGAGAATGCTATTCATTGACTACAGCTCAGCATTCAACACCATAGTGCCCTCTAAGCTCATCACTAAGCTAAGGATCCTGGGACTAAACACCTCCCTCTGCAACTGGATCCTGGACTTCCTGACGGGCTGCCCCCAGGTGGTAAGGGTAGGTAACAACACATCTGCCACACTGATCCTCAACACGGGGGCCCCTCAGGGGTGCGTGCTCAGTCCCCTCCTGTACTCTCTGTTCACCCATGACTGCATGGCCAGGCACGACTCCAACACCATCATTACGTTTGCCGACGACACAACAGTGGTAGGCCTGATCACCGACAACGATGAGACAGCCTATAGGGAGGAGGTCAGAGAGTTGGCCGTGTGGTGCCAGGACAACAACCTCTCCCTCAACGTGACCAAGACAAAGGAGATGATTGTGGACTACAGGAAAAAAAAGAGGACTGAGCACGCCCCCATTCTCATCGACGGGGCTGTAGTGGAACAGGTTGAGAGCTTCAAGTTCCTTGGTGTCCACATCACCAACAAACTATCATGGTCCAAACACACCAAGACAGTCATGAAGAGGGCACGACAAGCCTATTCCCCCTCAGGAGACTGAAAAGATTTGGCATGGGTCCTCAGATCCTCAAAGAATTCTACAGCTGCACCATCGAGAGCATCCTGACTGGTTGCATCACCGCCTGGTATGGCAACTGCTTGGCCTCCGACCGCAAGGCACTACAGAGGGTAGTGCGTACGGCCCAGTACATCACTGGGGCCAAGCTTCCTGCCATCCAGGACCTCTATACCAGGCGGTGTCAGAGGAAGGCCCTCAAAATTGTCAAAGACTCCAGCCACCCTAGTCATAGACTGTTCTCTCTGCTACCGCACGGCAAGCGGTACCGGAGTGCCAAGTCTAGGTCCAAAAGACTTCTCAACAGATTCTACCCCCAAGCCATAAGACTCCTGAACAGCTAATCATGGCTACCCGGACTATTTGCACTGCCCTCCCACCCCATCCTTTTTACGCTGCTGCTACTCTGTTAATTATTTATGCATAGTCACTTTAACTCTACCCACATGTACATATTACTTCAACTACCTCAACTAGCCGGTGCCCCCGCACATTGACTCTGCACCGGTACCCCCCTGTATATATAGCCTCCCTACTGTTATTTTATTTTACTTCTGCTCTTTTTTTCTCAACACTTTTTTTGTTGTTGCACTGTTGGTTAAGGGCTGTAAGTAAGCATTTCACTGTAATGTCTGCACCTGTTGTATTCGGCGCATGTGACGAATAACATTTGATTTGATTTGATTTTAGCTAACCCTTCCCCTAACCCTAACCTTAACCCTTTAACCTTACTCATAAACTTAACACTAACCTTAACCCTGACCCCTAATCCCTAGCCTAGCTAGCTAACGTTAGCAACCTAATTCGTAACATATTGTAGTTTTGAAAATTCGTAACATAAATTTGAATTGTAATTCCTAACATATCATATGAAATGGGTGATGGATATCCACAAATGAATACATACCATACGATACGTAACATATCATACTAAATGGAGTGTCTTAGTGGTAGATTAGTGGTTAAGAGCGTTGTGCCAGTAACCGAAAGGTTGCTGGTTCTAATCCCCGAGCCGACTAGGTGAAAAATCTGTCGATGTGCCCTTGATCAAGGCACTTAACCCCAATTGCTCATGTAAGTCGCTCTGGATAAGAGCGTCTGCTAAATGACTAAAATGTAAAAAATGTACATAATAATATGAAATGCTGTGAGACCAGGTTGCAGCCATGGAAAGAGCAGGTGTTCTTAATGTTTTGTACACTCAGTTTATAATTTCTTTTTTTGGGGGGGGGGGATTATGTTGAGTAAAAAAACTCTCCAGGCCACACTTGAATGTCTAAAACTAGTTAGAAAGTATGTAAAGATTATAATTGACCTATACATTTTCTAAATCCCGATGTGGCCCTCAAGCCAAAAGTTTTCCCACCCCTGGGATAGATGTTAGGGGATATGGTAGAGGTTAGTTAGAGGAAAGGGCTAGGGACTAGGAGTGTTATGATGTTACCTGACATGCCATACTGAAGTAGTCCCATGCAGTAGGTGAATGGTAGACCCTAGCTGACTGGAACATGGGCGGAGGTGTGCAAAGCTCCACCAGGTAATCTTTCGGCCATCAGGGTCACACTGTTGAACAGGTTGGTGGGGGGGCTGTAGAGGGTGAACTGGGTTGCCACGGCTACCGTTAGTCTGTCCAGCCAGCCAGCGGACCGCAGGGATTCTAGCCTGGACACAGACTCTGACCTGGGCGTTAGTTAGAGCAGAGAGGACAGGAGGACATCTGTTATCATAGACTAAGCTCAGGTGTGTGTTGTAGAACAGGGGAACAGACATACATGATGACGTGAAAAAAGTTCAAGTTTGTTTACTCATGTAAATGGTAGTTTCTCTGAGATAATGGTGCTGAGTGGTTGTGTTGTGTTCTGACCGTGTTAGACCAAGTTGGACCGTGGTCCCTGTTCCTGTGTAACACTGGAGTTGACCGCAGAGATGAGATCGGACCCCCACGGGGAACGCCATCCCAGAGACTCTTTCACCTGGGGGGTATGCCGTGAGGCATTCTGGGAACAAGGTCGCCATGATAGGAGGCACCTGAGGGGAGGTCAAAGGTCAGGTATGGGTTCGCAGCATAAAGTTAGCTATCAAACACACTGACAATAATTTCATTTTCTGGTTTCTAAAGAAAGAACTGAAGAACTGAGGGTGACTGAGGTTATTGAGTCAGTTAGACCACTCACAGCAAAATTAAATGTGTAATAAATAGACATTGTGATAGTGTCGATATTTTCACAGACAGTAAAATCTGAGCTGTACTGCAATACTGTTGCACAGACAGTAAAATCTGAACTGTACTGCAACACTGTTGCACAGACAGTAAAATCTGAACTGTACTGCAATACTGTGTCTGTAAAACCTACAAGTTTCAAGCAGACCACCATAGTCCCTGTGCCCAAGAACGCCAAGTTAAACGTCATCTTTCAAAGTGTTTAAGGTTAAGTTTAGGCATTAACGCCGAAATCTTAAGGTTAGGCATTAACTCTGAATGGTTAAGGTAAGGGTTAAGGTTTGGGATAGGCTTAAAACAAAAATCTCAAAAACAACTTCCTATTGCTGAATTCGAACATTCAACCTTTGGCACCAGAGGGAAAACTGAAACGTACTTGAAGGTAACAGCGCTCACTGTTGCCCCTAGTGGCCTGTTTCCACGTCATCTCCCGACATCCTCAGACATGGATGGACGTTGAATACTGACTTGTATCACGGGTGACATGGCTGCTAAATGACTATCGCCCCGTAGCACTCACATCTGTAGCCATGAAATGCTTTGAAAGACTGGTCATGGCTCACATCAACACCATCATCCCAGAAACCCTGGACCCACTCCAATTCGCATACCACCCCAAAAGATCCATAAATGACGCAATCTATATTGCACTCCACACTGCCCTTTCCCAACTGGACAAAAGGAACACCTACGTGAGAATGCTGTTCATTGACTGCAACTCAGCATTCAACACCATAATGCCCTCCAAGCTCATCACTAAGCTCAGGACCCTGGGACTGAATCCCTCTCTCTGCAACTGGATCCTGGACTTCCTGACGGGCCGCCCCCAGGTGGTGAGGGTAGGCAACAACACATCCGCCACGCTGACCCTCAACACGGGGCCCCTCTTGGGTGCGTGTTCAGTCCTGTACTCCCTGTTCACCCACGACACAACTCCAACATCATTAAGTTTGCCGACGACACGACCGTGGTTGGCCTGATCACCGACGACGATGAGACAGCCTATAGGGAGGAGGTCAGAGACCTGGCAGTGTGGTGCCAGGACAACAACCTCTCCCTCAACGTCAGCAAGACAAAGGAGCTGATCGGGAACTACAGGAAACGGAGGGCAGAGCACACCCCCATTCACTTCGAAGGGGCTATAGTGGAGCGGGTCGAGAGACTCAAGTTCCTCGGTGTCCACATCACTAAGGACCTATCATGGTCCAAACACACCAACACAGTCGTGAAGAGGGCACGACAATGCCTCTTCCCCCTCAGGAGGCTGAAAATATTTGACATGGGCCCTCAGATCCTCAAAAAGTTATACATCTGCACAATTGAGAGCATTTTGACTGGCTACAACGCCGCTTGGTATGGCAACTGCTTGGCATCCGACCGCATGGTGCTACAGAGGGTAGTGCATACGGCCCAGTATAACACTGGGGCTGAGCTCTCTGCCATCCAGGACCTCTATACCAGGTGGATCTTTATCAAAGACTCCAGCCACCCAAGTCATAGACTGTTCTGCTACCGCACGGCAAGCGGTACCGGAGCGCCAAGTCTGCGACCAAAAGGCTCCTGAACAGCTTCTACCCCCAAGCCATAAGACTGCTGAACAATTAATCAAATGGCTACCCCGACTATTTACATTGACCACCTTTTTATTTGCACTGACGCTACCCACACACTCACACATACTACACTGACACTCCAACACACCCATTCATAGACTACGACTACATACGCTCACACACACAGACACACTTTCACACTATTCACATACACTGCTGCTACTCTGTTTATTGTATATCCTGATTGCCGAGTCACTTTTTACCCCTACCTACATGTATATATTACCTCAACTACCTCTAACCCCTACACATTGACTCGGTACCAGTACTCCTTGTATATAGTCTCGTTATTGTTATTTTATTGTGCTAATATTTCCTTTTGTATTTTTAGCAAATGTTTCTTACTTTTTAACTCTGCATTGTTGGGAATGGTCTCATACGTAAGCATTTCATGGTAAAGTCTACACCTGTTGTATTTGGTGCATGTGAAAATTACATTTGATTTTATTTGAATTCCTCAATTTCACTCAGTGATTATCCATGTTGACTATACTACCCCCTGCTGGTGGACAAGTCAACCTGCAGTTTTACAGAGGATAAAAAACATGTAGAGTAATTCCTAGCCATTTAAACGTCAACATTTTACAGTCTCCGGTGTTTTTCCAGTCAGTTAAATGAGATGTGTCTATTCTCCCCTGGTTTACCTGGCATTGGGATGTGTTGGAAACATCAATCTTACTCAGGATGGGCTCTCCTATCCGAATCCATGTTCCCTGGCCCGTACCTGCCTGTCATGAGGGGAGATAAAGAAGGGTGTAAAACACATGCATGCACGCACACACACCCGAGCGCGTGCGCACACAGGCACATGCACACAGGCACACAGACACACACTAACACACACACACACTTACCTTCCCAGTTGCTGATATGTTGTTATACCAGGTGTCCCAGTCCAGACCATTCAGTAGACTGGTTAGGGTCCAGTTCCACCACTCCTCATGTGTTTGGATGAACAGGAATGGGTTATGTGGGCTCCTACATTTAATTGAAAATGTATACATATGAATATGCTAACTACGAGCAACAAACTGCGTATACAAGGGATACTATTCCTGTTTCCCTCCTACCTGGTGAACTGTGTTCGGACAGCATGGTTGAGGTGGTACTGGTCTCTAGACGAGCTGCCATAGGTTACACACAGTAGGAGGAATAGCATGGAAAAACACACCGCCATCTTCCTATGGAGGGAACAGACTGGGTCAGAAACACACTGCCATCTCCCTATGGAGGGAACAGACTGGGTCAGAAACACACTGCCATCTTCCTATGGAGGGAACAGACTGGGTCAGAAACACACTGCCATCTTCCTATGGAGGGAACAGACTGGGTCAGAAACACACTGCCCATCTTCCTATGGAGGGAACAGACTGGGTCAGAAACACACTGCCATCTCCCTATGGAGGGAACAGACTGGGTCAGAAACACACTGCCATCTCCCTATGGAGGGAACAGACTGGGTCAGAAACACACTGCCATCTCCCTATGGAGGGAACAGACTGGGTCAGAAACACACTGCCATCTCCCTATGGAGGGAACAGACTGGGTCAGAAACACACTGCCATCTCCCTATGGAGGGAACAGACTGGGTCAGAAACACACCGCCATCTCCCTATGGAGGGAACAGACTGGGTCAGAAACACACTGCCATCTCCCTATGGAGGGAACAGACTGGGTCAGAAACACACTGCCATCTCCCTATGGAGGGAACAGACTGGGTCAGAAACACACTGCCATCTCCCTATGGAGGGAACAGACTGGGTCAGAAACACACTGCCATCTTCCTATGGAGGGAACAGACTGGGTCAGAAACACACTGCCATCTCCCTATGGAGGGAACAGACTGGGTCAAAAACACACTGCCATCTCCCTATGGAGGGAACAGACTGGGTCAGAAACACACACATATATACGCAGGCACACACACCTGAGTGTTTTGCGGATGAGTGTTTCTCTCCTCTTCCTCCCCCCTGTCCTCCTCAGCTCCCCAGAAGTGGGCGGGCGTACCAGACGCAGATACCGAGCTCTCTGACGGGCCGCCAGCACCTGTCAATATCACAGCAAATACATTTCTTAATATCTTCTTCAATAATACGGAATAAAACCAGAGCAGTTGATTGTCTGTTAGAGTAGGATGATGTTGTTACCCTGTCAAAGTGTGAGCATCTCTCCTGGGGCTGATGAGGAGGGCTGAGCATGAAGAGCTCTGGGACACAGGAGCCATCTTGGGTCCACAGTTTCAGAGTTTCTGCCTGAAACCCAGTAGCTCCTGAGAAACTGGAGAAGTCTGGACGCTTCCTGCGCCAGAAGGAGACCACCACAGCCATGGCAAGGATCTAGTGCAGAAAATCAAACAGACCAATTCCATCAATGTTTTTCTGAGTAAGTGAATAGTAAATTATTGACGGCAACCACTTTTGGTTTGGTAAGATTAGCTTTATATTTGGGTTTGGGTTAAGTTGTGGTTCATGCTAGGTTCGGTTTGTGTTTTGTTGTTTGTGTTTAGTTTACCATGGCTGGCTGGATGATGAAGACGCAGGAGAGCAGGGAGAAGAAGAGGGAATGGATCCACAGTAAAGTCTTACTGCTGCTGAACCTAACATATGCACACACAGACCATACACCACACACATAAACACACGCACGCACACGCACACGCACACACAAACAATAACGCCCTGGTAAATAACTTGTACCATGTGTATCGCTTGTAATCATTTGTATCTCTCTATAATACAGTATGATGACTACCTTGTCTTATGTACTAACCTGATCCCCAAGACGACAATGACCACCAGAGAGGAGAGGCCCAGGGCCAAACACAGTACCCAGGCTAGGAGGTGACTCCAGCGGGGTAGAGGGTTGAGCCTTCCCCCTAAGCATCTGCTGGTACTGGTGCCCACCTGGTTGTTGCCCAGAAGTTTGGGGCTATCGTTGAGGTTACGATCCCTCTCCTTGCGAATGCTGTTGTTGTCTGGGACATTGTTGCCTAGCAACCTGCCAAGCAAGCTGTTGTCGTGGGCGACACCATCCTCAAAACCAATGGAGTTGCAGTCTGAGGAGACTTTCTCCTCGGTCAGCAGATCCCTTACCAGATCCTGACTGCTCCAGATTCCCAGGTCTCCTCTTTGAGTAACCAGATCCCTATTCGGCACTGAGCCCTGGGAGATGAGAGATAGAGAGAGGGACATGATACCTAATATTAAGTCAACGAATAGAATGTCTAAGAGGTAAGATGTAAATCTAATAGAAGCCAAACGCATATTTTCCCAAATGTGTGTAAGAACAGGAAGAGCGTGTCACCTCATATTTCTTCCTCCAGGCCTCCTGTGCCCACTGCTGCAGATTGTTCCAGGAGAGATAGGACTCAAACACACAGTCACTCACGATCAGTGCATCAGCTTGGGGGAAAGAGAGAGACAGAGAGATAGAGAGAGAGAGAGAGCAGAGATCTATCACTTGACTCCCTCACTTTCACCTGTTCTCAACCACCCACAAGAAAGAACCATAGTAGGCCATAGTGAGTGCTTGCGTTTGTGTTTGTGTGTGTGTGTGTGTGTTCTACCTTCTATAGAGTAGATGTCTGGCAGTCGGACCATGTCCTGTTTGACCTCTGACCTCTTTACTCTGACCTCACGCTGACGGAACAGGAAGGACAGCGCAGTCGCTACGGGCAACACAGCCAGCGCGCTGAGCAACCCCGTCGTTAGGGAAACGGCAGACACGTCGATAATGCCCAGCTCTGAGGTGTACTGGAACAACACACAGCATTATGGGTAGTGTAGTTGCCAATGACAGATTGATTGATTGATTGATTGATTGATTGATGATTGATTGATTGATTGATTGATTGATTGATTGACTCACTTGGTCTTCGAGGCCTGATATCAGTAAAGTGTTGACACTCATGTACCCCAGCAGCAGCAGCAGACACAAACTGAGACGTTGTGTGTGAGTGAACATGCTAGGGGAGGGACCACTGTACACAGACAACCACAGGTGGAAGTCTGACAGGTACTCTGACAGCTTCAGATACAGTAGCTACACAAACAAACACATGACATAACAACACATGACAAAATAACATATTACGAGCACATGACATAAGAACATCATTAGACAATGAGTTTGTGTGTTTGTGTGTGTTCACGTTTTACTATACTTGTGAGTCCCAGATGTCCTCACGAGAATCACCAGTCATCACTTGTAAAAAATCTATTTTAGTCTTAGTTAGAATTAGGGTTAGAATTAGGGTTATGGGTTGTTAGGTTTAGGGTTAGAAGTTAGGGTTAGGTTTAGGGTATAGGGAAAATAGAATTTTGAATGGGAATCAATTGTTGGTGTGTGTGTGGTGTGTGTGCACACGTGTGTGTATGCGTGTGTGCACATGCGTGCGTGTGACGTTTGTGTACATGTGTGCATGCAGGTGTGTTACCTTGGTGAATCCTGGCCCCTGATCACAGACCCTGAGTCTCCTCTCCACCTGTCCGTCACCCTCGTCAACAGCCAACCAGCACTGGCCTAGGAACAGCCATCTCCGCCCCTTGCCCTTCACCTCACACACCTCCACCTGTCTGAGGTACCAGGTGGGGGAGGGGCCAGTGTTATCATGCCACAGGTTCAGCCCCCACAGAGGGCCCAGACTGTCTACAGTACTACAGAGAGACACACATAAACAGTGACATGGTATTAGTACGGGGGGTGTCTCTGTCTCTGTGGCTACAGCTGCTAAGGAGGGTTTCACATGCTGGCTGGGCTGGCTGGGCTGACTGATGACACAACGGTTCTCATAGTAAACAAAAACAGAGATGTATAGTAGTGCATTGTACAGGCTGATACTGTAGCTGTAATGTTGTTTCGTACCTCAGTATAAAGGTGTTCCTGGAGTTCCTTCTGAACAGAGGGCATTCTGGGACATACAGTTGTCTGGTCTGTGACGCCCCATCCTCCCCATACAGCACAATATGGACCTGACACACACACAAACATACACATCAGACAATTCTGCTAGGTTTGCTCAGGAAAATGTATGTAATGAGGTGAAAATGTTGTAATAGTAACTTTATAAATACAGGTTTTTGCACACAAGTGTGTGTATTTGCACACGGGTTTGTGTATGCATGTCTGTCTGTGCCTGTGTCTGAATGAGATATAAGGGTAAAAGACAGTACTACACATTCAGGTGGCACATACACACAGAGACCGACACACCAAAACATAAGGATAAAAGGACAGGTATTATTATTAAACAAAAATAAGTGCCATACGATAAGTGCCATGGGATCTTTAGTGATCACAAAGAGTCAGGACACCCGTTTAATGTCTAATCTAATCTAATCTAGAGCTGGAGGAGGGGGTGTGGTCTACATGCGTCTCCCCTCAGGCCAGGGGCTCTATGATAGTAATAATAACCACAAAACCTTCAGTGGCTTCCTTCTCTTCCCTACAGATGTAGGATCTTAATTTTTGGTATTTTATTAGGATCTCCATTATCTGTTGCAAAAGCAGCAGCTACTTTTCCTGGGGTCCACACAAAACATGAAACATGACATAATACAGAACATTAATAGACAACAGCTCAAGGACAGAACTACATAAACATCTATTTTTTTTACAAAATGCACGCGTAGCCTACATATCAATACATACACACAAACTATCTAGGTCAAATAGGGGAGAGGCGTTTGATCACCCTGTTGCAGGAGAACTTTCCTGCAATACAGGAAATGTTAAACTTGTAGTGCATTTGAGGTCTAAAAAGGCATCTGAAATTTGTCATTTCCACTTTGAAATGTCCCTTACGAAAAATGTATTAACCCCTACAAAAATGACCATTAATTATAATCCACATAACAATTCACATTTCCTGTTGCTGCGGGGTTAATATCCTGCCGTAGAAAACTAGTTCAAGTTAAGATCCTACATCTGTATGTGAAGGCAGCACCATGCTACAATGCACCATGCTCAACTTTCTGATGTGAACAGTTCTGGGGTTAAAGACCCCAATGTTCCTCTCTAACCAATAAATAAGCATTATAAAAGCCAGATGACACTCTTTGCATCATTTACATTTTACCATCAGTGATGTAAAGTGACAACAATCCTAACTGCTGCATCCTTGATAAAGGTGGAGCGTTTAGTATATTGCTTCCACCTATCCTATGCTCTTAGAGATCTGAGGGCCAATGAGGGCAAAGGGAGGGGAGAGAATTACAGAATCTGTGTCAAACCAATTGGGTGAGAGAGGGAGAGGGGAGGACAATGGTAAAGGACAGAGCAGATAATGGGACAGGAGAGAGGGAGGGAGAGAGGGAAGGAGAGAGTATGGGGAGAGGGAGTGTTCTGGAAAAAGGGTACTGTACCTTGGCGGTCATGCTGGTTGAGGAGCGGAGACCGGTGTGTATAGTAACAGAGTAGAGATGTGTGTCTGAAGGACCGTTATCAGACAGGTAGTAGACTCCCTGGTTCCTCTCTAAGATGAGGTCAGCTCTCTTACACACCACCATGCCAAGGGCATACAGACACACACACACCACACACACACACACCACCGTCACATCACTGGGGAGACTGATGGAAGAGAGATGGGGAGGGAGAAAGAGGGAGAAGAGAGAGAGAAAGAGAGAGAGAGAGAGTGAAAGAGGGAGGGGTTGATGAGGGGAAAAGAGAAAGAGAGACATTATGGCAAAATACCAAATACCATAATTAAGTTGGACACTCATACTTCCTTCTCTGTGATCCTTGAAACTACAAATCCCATAACCCACGGGGCTAAGCAAAGATGGTCGCCACCCTGTGGTCTGACTGACCTGATGAACTGGGCCAGGTCTGCTGAGTCGTCATGGCTGCTCTGGATGTCCTGCTGGACCATGGTCAATGGGCTCAAGTGGCTACAGCTGGAACACACACAGGTGACTCACAGTGTGTGTGTGTGTGTGTGTGTTTGCATCCATGTATACAGAATGTGTGTGTGTTGTGTGTGTGTGTGTGTGTGTGTGTGTGTGTGTGTGTGTGTGTGTGTGTGTGTGTGTGTGTGTGTGAGAGTGAGTGAGTGTGTGTGTGTTACCTGCAGTTGACCCTGGTGTGTGAGGTCAGTCCTAGTTGAGGTGTGCAGCCAGTGTGTGTCCAGCCCTGCTGGTGGTCCCAGGACAGACACTGGCTGGTCTCCAGTCTCAAGGTGTAGTTCACCTGTCTGCTCATGTACCTACAGTGGGGGGGAAAAAGTATTTAGTCAGCCACCAATTGTGCAAGTTCTCCCACTTAAAAAAATGAGAGAGGCCTGTAATTTTCATCATAGGTACATGTCAACTATGACAGACAAATTGAGAAAAAAAAATCCAGAAAATCACATTGTAGGATTTTTAATGAATTTATTTGCAAATTATGGTGGAAAATAAGTATTTGGTCACCTACAAACAAGCAAGATTTCTGGCTCTCACAGACCTGTAACTTCTTCTTTAAGAGGCTCCTCTGTCCTCCACTCGTTACCTGTATTAATGGCACCTGTTTGAACTTGTTATCAGTATAAAAGACACCTGTCCACAACCTCAAACAGTCACACTCCAAACTCCACTATGGCCAAGACCAAAGAGCTGTCAAAGGACACCAGAAACACAATTGTAGACCTGCACCAGGCTGGGAAGACTGAATCTGCAATAGGTAAGCAGCTTGGTTTGAAGAAATCAACTGTGGGAGCAATTATTAGGAAATGGAAGACATACAAGACCACTGATAATCTCCCTCGATCTAGGGCTCCACGCAAGATCTCACCCTGTGGGGTCAAAATTATCACAAGAACGGTGAGCAAAAATCCCAGAACCACACAGTGGGACCTAGTGAATGACCTGCAGAGAGCTGTGACCAAAGTAACAAAGCCTACCATCAGTAACACACTACGCCGCCAGGGACTCAAATCCTGCAGTGCCAGACGTGTCCCCCTGCTTAAGCCAGTACATGTCCAGGCCCGTCTGAAGTTTGCTAGAGTGCATTTGGATGATCCAGAAGAGGATTGGGAGAATGTCATATGGTCAGATTAAACCAAAATAGAACTTTTTGGTAAAAACTCAACTCGTCGTGTTTGGAGGACAAAGAATGCTGAGTTGCATCCAAAGAACACCATACCTACTGTGAAGCATGGGGGTGGAAACATCATGCTTTGGGGCTGTTTTTCTGCAAAGGGACCAGGACGACTGATCCGTGTAAAGGAAAGAATGAATGGGGCCATGTATCGTGAGATTTTGAGTGAACACACCGCCCGGGCAACGAAGGAGTGGCTTCGTAAGAAGCATTTCAAGGTCCTGGAGTGGCCTAGCCAGTCTCCAGATCTCAACCCCATAGAAAATCTTTGGAGGGAGTTGAAAGTCCGTGTTGTCCAGCGACAGCCCCAAAACATCACTGCTCTAGAGGAGATATGCATGGAGGAATGGGCCAAAATACCAGCAACAGTGTGTGAAAACCTTGTGAAGACTTACAGAAAACGTTTGACCTGTGTCATTGCCAACAAAGGGTATATAACAAAGTATTGAGAAACTTTTGTTATTGACCAAATACTTATTTTCCACCATAATTTGCAAATAAATTCATAAAAAATCCTACAATGTGATTTTCTGGAGAAAAAAAATCTCACTTTGTCTGTCATAGTTGACGTGTACCTATGATGAAAATTACAGGCCTCTCTCATCTTTTTAAGTGGGAGAACTTGCACAATTGGTGGCTGACTAAATACTTTTTTTCCCCACTGTACATAGAGGAAACAGGACACTTAGGAACAAAATGGATGTGTGTATGATATTCAGCTGCTCTTGGAGGGCAATGGAAGTTAAATAGAAATTATAACATTTTATATGGTCATTTAAGTAAAATAATAATAATAAGATGATGATGTTGTTATAAACCAGGTGTTGACTTACTTGTGTCTAGGGGTCTTTTTGTAGTCAGCATTGAGTAGAGCCAGGTAGCCTGTCCCTGCAGCTGAACAGAACATAAGAAACACTTTATCATCCTCATGTTACAGGAAGCATTAGCATCCAATCACAGTGACTAAACAAAAAGGGAATGTACTTTCAATTATAAACAATGAAAAACAGATGATGTGATATGACAAATGAGACAAGGGAGAGAGGGAGAGAGACAGTGGGGGTTGATGAGAGAGAGCGAGAAATAGACAGAGATTGAGACAGGGAGAGAGAAAGTGGGGGAGAGAGTGAGAGAGAGAGAGACAGAGAGAGAGAGAGATAAGAGACTAACCATTGAGGTATGATGGAGGCAGGGTGATGTGAGTGGTGTTTCCGTCCCAGTGATAGATGCTGTGGATGTGATGCAAGCTGGGGGTCGGCCTCTCAAACATCCTGAGAACCCACACACACACAATTAACTGGCAAAATAGGGAAATTGAGGAAATGGTCTATTCTAAAACGGAATGTTTGAAGCTGTACTCAAAGGCCTGTACACACCTGAAGAGGAGCATGATGGGAAAGGTCTTGTTGGGCGGCCGTGTGAACTCCACACTGACCAGTATGGCCTCCTGCACGGCCTGCTGGGTAATGTTGAAACTGTGGTAGTTCACCTGGCTTCGCAGGAGAGTGAACTCGGATACAGAACTTACCTGGGGAGAGGGAAGATGAAAGGTCACACACACACACACACACATACGTACACACACATACACACACACACACAGGCAATCTGTCCATCAACCCAAACAGAAAGTGAATGCGTACGTTTCTAGGTGTTTTGGGGAACTCAATGTTGATTGGTTGGGAGAGCGAGCGTACTGGAATCTCTCTCCTTGTGCTGCAGTTGTACAGAGTCAGGTCAATCACTGGCCCACTCAGCTGAAAGACACACATCATCATCACCTTCATCATCATCATAATCATCTTCTTGATGTAAAGTGTGTGTGTATCTCACCAGTTCAGGTGTCTTGGTCCAGAAGTAGAGGTTGTGTGTGAACGTGGTCAGCTGGCTGAGGACACAGAGACTCTGTGGTCCATCTGCGGTCTCTCTCCCTCTACGACCGTACAGGACCAAGTCCAGGGAGTCAGGCAGGTAGAAGGTGGCCGAGCCAGAGCTGATGACCGTGGTTAGACCGTGGTCGTGGTGAGTGGTCTGTAGGTCCATGACACTAGTGGTCACGTTGTGCTGCTGGGTCTTATTGAACAGGACGTATTTCTACAACACAGAGAGGAGAGTCAGAGAGAGAGAGAAAGGAGAGAGGGAGAAAGAGAGAGAGAGAGTGTGTGTGTGTGTGTGTGTATCTCACCAGTAGTAATTGAGCAGTAGTCTGCAGACTGTCAGTCGTGAGTTGTATGGCCTGCTCTTTGAGGGTAGGCGTGGCCTGTATGACATCATCAGCAGTGGCCTGGTCTTGTCTGACATCATCAGTAGTGGGGGTGGCCTGCAGGCTGTATGACAGCAGTGTGACCAGAGTGTTAAGGGTCCAGCTGTCCAGTATGTAGGGAACAGCAAAAGTAGGCTGGTGGAACAGGTCTGAGATGGACTGGACATGACCCACCACCACACTGGCACTGGCTAACGATACCTGGGACAACAACGCACTGTTAATACATATTGTATACATCTATCATCTTATAGCCTATACATGACCCACGACCACCACACTGGCACTGGACAACGATACCTGGGACAACAAAACACTGTTAATACATAATGTATTATACATCTATCCTGCATACATCTATATGCAGAGCCATATAAAGCTTTGACCCAATGCAAAGGGTCTCTTACCTGGTGGGTGAGGTGCATCAGGTCTTTGAGCATGTAGATGTTATCTATCATGGACCCCTAGAGACACACACAATAACTGATCGTTACTAGACACTCTACTTTGAGTGTGTGTCTGTGTGTGTGTGTGTGCGTGTGTGCGAGTGTGTGTACCTGGTCATTGATGTCGAGCTGACACACAGCGTTGATGAGTGTGGTGCGTGTGTGTGTCTGAGTGTGTGTGTTGGCTGTGGGGTCCTGGCTGAGTCTGTTGAGGACGCTGGACAGGAGGATGATGTAGTTACGGATCTCTACACTGTTCCCCAACTGGACCAGACCAGACAGGTTCCTCAGACCTGACTCAAAACTACACAGAGAGAGACAGAGAAAGAGAGAGAGAGGCCTCAAATCAATCAAACAAATGACCAATCAACCAATCAATCAGTCAGTCAGTCAACTAGTCAGTCAGTCTGTCAACCAGTCAGTCAGTTAACCAGTCAGTTAGTCAATCAGTCAGTCAGTCAGTCAACCAGTCAGTCAGTCAGTCAACTAGTCAGTCAGTCAACTAGTCAGTCAGTCAGTCAACCAGTCATTCAGTCAGTCAGCCAGTCAGTTAGTCAACCAGTCAGTCAACCAGTCAGTTAGCCAACCAGTCAGTCAACCAGTCAGTCAGTCAACCAGTCAGTCAGTCAGTCAACCAGTCAGTTAGCCAACCAGTCAGTCAACCAGTCAGTCAATCAACCAGTCAGTCAGTCAGTCAACCAGTCAGTTAGCCAACCAGTCAGTCAACCAGTCAGTCAGTCAACCAGTCAGTCAGTCTTACAGTTCCATATCAGGGTTGTAGTTAGAGGAGGTGTTCCTGATGAAGCTGGGGTGGACTGTGACGGTTACAGGACAGGGTATAGTTGCTGCTCCAAACCTGTTCCGGACCTCTGTATAGATAGTGACTGGAACACAGGGACACAGTGTCAATAAAGATATGAAATTCAAAACAATGTGAGTGACTGCTATATTCCTCTCTGGACAGTATAATAAATTAATAAGAGTTAACCTTTTATTGCAGTGGACTAAATCAGGGTCACACAGAGTGTCTCTTTGTAGTCTTAAACAAATCTACTTTGAAACAAAAGTATACACCTCACACACATGGTTATGGGCTTAACAGAAAGAAGACACCTGTACCATGTCAGATATAGAGTTGAAATGTATTACATTTTGAGTTTGCATCCCAATATTACACTTTACATTCTGTACATCACAGAAGACTGAAATATAACAAAACCCTCTGACATAGAAACACTGGATATTCGGCGGGTTTAAAAAAATAATGTTTATTAATTATGAAAATATGACATAACATTCCACCCATGAGGCCACTAGGTCATTTGACAGCAGGAAAGGGTTTTAATATACCTTTATAGTCATCCTGAGGGTCTCCAGAGGGCAGGTTGAAGTAGTACTGAAAGTCTCTTCCTTGGTACAGGATCTTAGGAGGGCTGTTTCCTATACTGAAACTGTACTCATACAGCAGGTCCTAAACCACACACAGTACACACATCAGTTACAGGTGAAGTCGGAAGTTTACATACACTTCGGTTGGAGTCAATAAAACTTGTTTTTCAACCACTCCACAAATGTCTTGTTAACAAACTATAGCTTTGGCAAGTCGGTTAGGACATCTACTTTGTGCATGACACAAGTAATTTTTCCAACAATTGTTTACAGACAGTTTATTTCACTTATAATTCACTGTATCACAATTCCAGTGGGTCAGAAGTTTACATACACTAAGTTGACTGTGCCTTTAAACAGCTTGGAAAATTCCAGAAAATGATGTCATGGCTTTAGAAGCTTCTGATAGGCTAATTGACATCATTTGAGTCAATTGGAGGTGTACCTGTGGATGTATTTCAAGGCCTACCTTCAAACTCAGTGCCTCTTTGCTTGACATCATGGGAAAATCAAAAGAAATCAGCCAAGACCTCAGAAAAAAAATGGTAGTCCTCCACAAGTCTGGTTCATCCTTGGGAGAAATTTCCAAACGCCTGATGGTACCACGTTCATCTGTACAAACAATAGTACGCAAGTATAAACACCATGGGACCACGCAGCCGTCATACCGCTCAGGAAGGAGACGCGTTCTGTCTCCTAGAGATGAACGTACTTTGGTGCGAAAAGTGCAAATCAATCCCAGAACAACAGCAAAGGACCTTGTGAAGATGCTGGAGGAAACAGGTACAAAAGTATCTATATCCACAGTAAAACAAGTCCTATATCGACATATCCTGAAAGACCGCTCAGCAAGGAAGAAGCCACTGCTCCAAAACCACCATAAAAAAAGCCAGACTACAGTTTGCAACTGCAAATGGGGACAAAGATCGTACTGTTCTGAGAAATGTCCTCTGCTCTGATGAAACAATATTATAACTGTTTGCCCATAATGACCATCGTTATGTTTGGAGGAAAAAGGGGAACGCTTGCAAGCCGAAGAACACCATCCCAACCGTGAAGCACAGGGGTGGCAGCATCATGCTGTGGGGGTGCTTTGCTGCAGGAGGAACTGGTGCACTTCACAAAATAGATGACATCATGAGGAAGGACAATTATGTGGATATATTGAAGCAACATCTCAAGACATCAGTCAGGAAGTTAAAGCTTGGTCGCAAATGGGTCTTCCAAATGGACAATGACCCCAAGCATACTTCCAAAGTTGTGGCAAAATGGCTTAAGGACAACAAAGTCAAGGTATTGAAGTGGCCATCACAAAGCCCTGACCTCAATCCTATTGAAAATTTGTGCCAAAATGGGCCACAATTCACCCAACTTATTGTGGGAAGCTTGTGGAAGGCTAGCCGAAACGTTTGACCCAAGTTAAACAATTTAAAGGCAATGCTACCAAATACTAATTGAGTGTATGTAAACTTCTTACCCACTGGGAATGTGATGAAATAAATAAAATCTGAAATAAATCACTCTCTACTATTATTCTGACATTTCACATTCTTAAAATAAAGTGGTGATCCTAACTGACCTAAGACAGGGAATTTGTACTAGGATTAAATTTCAGGAATTGTGAAAAACTGAGTTTAAATGTATTTGGCTAAGGTGTATGTAAACTTCCGACTTCAACTGTACATGGTGATGGAGATAAATACAGTACTACTGCTGTTGGTTAGAATGTATGTGTACCTCTTTCCCAGAGGTGCAGAAGATGCTGAAGTGTGTGTGTATCTCGAGGCCGCTGCTAGGCTGCACCTGACAGGTCATCCCTCGGGGGGTGGGGCTAGTGGACAGGAACAGCTGAGTCCGCCCCAGTACTGCATCATGGGAGTCTGAGTTCATAACAGGAAACAAGGACACACACTTTGATCAACAGATAAAGGGAGTGAGAAATGTATTAAAAAGCAATCAGTAAATCAATACATTAGTCAATTGATCCTCCTTACTCACTAGCTGTGACCTCTAACATATATCTGCTTCCTGCTCTCAGAGTGAAGGGTCTGAACATAATGAGAGCAGAGGAGATTCCTAGAGGCAAATACAACAGGTGATCAGGTACAACAATGTACATTCAATCTATCAAAACAATTGAATTGAGACTGGAAAACTGTTGTGCACATACACAGTTTGCACAGTGCAGTAGGTAAGTGTATTGAGTGCTGATGGATGTTTACCTGTGTATGTGTAGGACTCAAACCGCTCCTGCTCTAACAGTTCTCTGGGCAGGTCTAGTAGTGTGGGGTCAAGGACCACCAGGGAGGGGCTGGAGTCCATCAGGTTACTCCCCTCATCCTCACCTGATCCTGGGATAGCAGGAGCAGAGTCTCCCTCTGAGCTCCCAGAGCTCCCACCACCCACACCTGACGATAAACATACAAGAACACACAGTATAAACACAAGCACAAACAGTAAACACACACAAACACACACAAACACACACACACAAATACACACACACAAAGACAGGTGAGCCCTACCTGTTGGTCTGCCCCCTGACACTCCTGGGTCTCCCTCCTCTATCCCCAGGAAGGGAACATTATAATCTGTAGGACAGACATTCACAACTTAATCTCTGAAAAAGTATGAGTCTATAGAAAATACTTCTGTTATTCAATCCAATATGTACATCAACTGATATAAAGTGGTATTGAGTTAAATCTGCGTGGCATTACCAGTGAAGTTATAGCTGCCTGTCTGATTGCCTGATGGTCCTAGTGTCCCATTGGGGTCCCAGCTTGTCTCTGCTGTGGAGGGACCTGAAACAAAACAGCAACATGTTTCATCTAGGACTTTTCAATGTCCCTTAGTTGTGGATCTGAAATGGTTTGCTACTTTAATGTACTGTATGTCAATAATATCAGTAACTCTTAACTGACCTGGTCCAGGGAAGGGTCCTAACACTCCACCACTGACTGACTCTCCAGAAGAGGAGCCCTCAACTGCAACACAAAGAGGACCAAACTAAGAGAAGTGTATTCAGATGTAAATATATCCATCCATCCATCCACCCACTCACTCATCCATCTATCCATTTATTTCCTTAATCTTCCTTACCAGGCCGTCCGCTCACATCTCCACTCTCCAGGACGGGGAAAGGGAAGTCGTAGTCAGCGGGAAAATCGGGATCGATGGGGAATTCCTCGAAGATGTCACTCTGGCCGAGGGGGGCAGAGTAAAGGATTCTGCCGTCGTCAAAGACAACTACAGGGTACTCTGAGATGGGGTAAGGGGGCCCTGCGGGGTCAAACCTTCCCACGTCTGAAATAAAATATACTTTAAAATATACACCAACATATTTCAGAGCTATGAAACCTATCAAAGAAAAGCAGTCGGCAGAAGATAACATGTTTTATTGTGTTACTCTTAACCCTTACCTGGCTCAGGTGTATCAGGAGTGGAGCTGATTGGAGCAGAGATGGGCTCGGGGGAGGAGTTTTTTGAAGGGTTGGCCAAAACAGTGTGGTTTGGTAAAGAGAGGAATGGAGGGGTGTAGTTTGGTGTTTGGTTGTTCCCAGCTGTGCTATTGATTCTCTGAAGTTCTACTGACCCCTGTGACCTCTGTTTCTGGGGGCGATCACCAGGTGATGGGGACGGGAGGGGCAGGGGGATTGTGGGCAGCGGGGGTAAGGGAGACAGGGGGACTGGGCCGGGAGTTGTGGGGGTTGTAGTTTGTATCTCAGTATGGCTTATCCCGTTTGATGACACCAGACCGGTCACCAAGCTGGCTGGGATTGATGTTACGGCGTTTGTGTTTGATGATGTCATTTTTGAGGATATCTCTGTGGATGAGGACATCATGCTGGCTGTGGGTGAGGGTGTGTGGGGGGGTGATGATGGAGGGGTGAGAGTCAGGGCTGGGGGCAGGGGAAAGGTAGGGCCACCAATGATGTTGGAGGGAATACTCAGATCCACACTGTGACAGAAGGGGACTGGAGAGAGAGGTTAACATACACACACTATAACACCCCACTCTTCACTCTAAACACATTATTACACACAGACACACTCTACTGTATAAGAGTAGTGTAGGGCCTGTGTCTCTCCCATTCATTTGGAATTGAGGCCTTTAGATTTCTTATTATACACCTAGCTGGATCTACACATCAGAAGGACTGGTCTAGGGACCTATCCTGCTGTAGTCTGTATGGTGAGGGATCTATGTCTTACCGTCTGTGTCCACCTTACTGGAGGAGTTGACCAGGTAGAGAGTCCAGGTGTAGCTGATGGTTCTGGGGGAGGGGCCACAGCTCTCACACAGTGCTCTGACTGAGAACGACTGGTCCCAGTTCACTGAATCCCCCTGGTACTGGTAACAATACACTGACACCCTCCTATAGAGAGGGGGATAGGGGAGAGAAAGAGAGAGAAAGAGAGAGAGAGAGAGAGAGAGAGAGAGAGAGAGAGAGAGAGAGAGAGAGAGAGAGAGAGAGAGAGAGCGATAGCGAGAGATAGAGAGAAACAGAGAGATAGAGAGAGAGATAATTATTGTTATTTGTATGTATTTATTACAGAAACACACTTTTATTTATTTATTTAGTTTAGTTTTTGTTTTTCACACACACACACACACACATTTGGATTGTCCTGTTCTATACTTGCTTGTGTATTAATTTCCTATGTACTTTACTCTAACCAAATGATATATAGATATATACTAATATGAAATTAGATAATTAACTTGTACTCCTCTACCTTAGGTCTTAAGACCACAAACCTAGATTTTCTTAACACCAAAGGTCAAGACATAATAATAGTTATAGAAACATGGTGTCGTGGTGATATAGATACTCAATGTCCTTCAGGCTATAGGGAAATTCTACTTCCATCATTAAAACATAAAAACATTAAACAGAGCAGGGACTCGGGAGGAATGATCATATGATATAAACAGGACCTTTCACTGAGCCAAATCAAAAAGGGTAACACACATATTTGGTTCAAACTCAACAAAGGCACAATCCTTAGTGACAATGATTTATATATTGGTGCGGTGTATGCTTCTCCCTCAGATTCATCTTACTATGATGATCAGTTTTATGATAATCTCCAAAGAGAGACCAACCAGTTTCAAGCTAACGGAAATGTACTTTTGTGTGGGGATTTTAATGCTAGAACAGGTCCTGAACCTGAATGTGTAGACCCTGAGGGTAATATTTGGACATCCCTCCTTATACCCGAATCTATTACTAGTAATAGAAATAGCCCTGACCAAATCAAATCAAATCAACAGGTGTAGACCTTACAGTGAAATGCTTACTTACAAGCCCTTAACCAACAATGCAGTTTTAAGAAAAATAAGTGTTAAGTAAAAAATAGATAAATAAACAATAAAAAAAGAAGAAAAATAGAAAAATTACAAATAATTAAAAGAGCAGCAGTAAAATAACAGTAGCAAGGCTATATACAGGGGGTACCGGTACAGAGTCAATGTGCGGGGGCACAGGTTAGTCGAGGTAATTGAGGTAATATGTACATGTGGGTAGAGGTAAAGTGACTAATAATAAACAGAGAGTAGCAGCAGCGTAAAAAGAGCGGGTGGGGGTGGGTGTGGGGGGGCTAGTCCAGGTAGCCATTTGATGAGCTGTTCAGGGGTCTTGGGGGTAGAAGCTGTTAAGAAGCCTTTTGGACCTAGACTTGGCACTCCGGTACCGCTTGCCGTGTGGTAGCAGAGAGAATAGTCTATGACTACGTGGCTGGATTCTTTGGCAATTTTTAGGGCCTTCCTCTGACACCGCCTGGTATAGAGGTCTTGGATGGAAGGAAGCTTGGCCCCAGTGATGTACTGGGCCGTACGCACTAGCCTCTGTAGTGCCTTGCAGTCGGAGGCCGAAGAGTTGCCATACCAGGCAGTGATACAACCGGTCAGGATGCTCTCGATGGTGCAGCTGTAGAACTTTTTGAGGATCTGGGGACCCATGACAAATCTTTTCAGTCTCCTGAGGGGGAATACGCTTTGTCGTGCCCTCTTCACGACTGTCTTGGTGTGTTTGGACCATGATAGTTTGTTGGTGATGTGGACACCAAGGAACTTGAAGCTCTCAACCTGCTCCACTACAGCCCCGTCGATGAGAATGGGGGCGTGCTTGGTCCTCCTTTTCCTGTAGTCCATATATCCTTTGTCTTGATCACGTTGAGGGAGAGGTTGTTATCCTGGCACCACACGGCCAGGTCTCTGACCTGCTCCCTATAGGCTGTCTCATCGTTGTCGGTGATCAGGCCTACCACTGTTGTGTCGTCTGCAAACTTAATGATGGTGTTGGAGTCGTGCTTGGCCATGCAGTCATGGGTGAACAGGGAGTACAGGAGGGGACTGAACACGCACCCCTGAGGGGCACCCGTGTTGAGGATCAGTGGCAGATGTGTTGTTACCTAACCTCACCACCTGAGGGCGGCCTGTCAGGAAGTCCAGCATCCAGTTGCAGAGGGAGGTGTTTAGTCCCAGGGTCCTTCGCTTAGTGATGAGCTTTGAGGGCACTATGGTGTTGAACGCTGAGCTGTAGTCAATGAATAGCATTCTCACGTAGGTGTTCCTTTTGTCCAGGTGGGAAAGGGCAGTGTGGAGTGCAATAGAGATTGCATCATCTGTGGATCTGTTGGGGTGGTATGCAAATTGGAGTGGGTCAAGGGTTTCTGGGATAACGGTGTTGATGTGAGCCATGACCAGCCTTTCAAAGCACTTCATGGCTACAAACGTGAGTGCTACAGGTCGGTAGTCATTTATGCAGGTTACCTTAGTGTTCTTGGGCACAGGGACTATGGTGGTCTGCTTGAAACATGTTGGTATTACAGACTCAGTCAGGACATGTTAAAACATGTCAGTGAAGACACTTGCCAGTTGGTCAGCGCATGCTCGGAGTACACATCCTGGTAATCCGTTTGGCCCTGCGGCCTTGTGAATGTAGACCTGTTTAAAGGTCTTACTCACAGCGGCTACGGAGAGCGTGATCACACAGTCGTCCGGAACAGCTGATGCTCTCATGCATGCTTCAGTGTTGCTTGCCTCGAAGCGAGCATAGAAGTAATTTAGCTTGTCTGGTAGGCTCGTGTCACTGGGCAGCTTGCGGCTGTGCTTCCCTTTGTAGTCCGTAATAGTTTGCAAGGCCTGCCACATCCCCTCTGGTTGCACATTTAACATGCTGGTAGAAATGAGGTAAAATGTACAGATGGGCCCCTGACAGCGCAACACACTTCAACACAACATTGCACTGCCCAGAAATTACAACCTGTATCAATTACTTCCTTTCAAGTACATTCAGCCCAAACATCCCTGACATACAGTGCATTCAGAAAACATTCAGACCCCTTGACTTTTTCCACATTTTGTTAAGTTACAGCCTTATTCTAAAATTGATTAAATAAAACAATTTCCTCATCAATCTACACACAATACCCCATAATGACAAAGCAAAAACTGGTTTTTAGAAATGTTTGCAAATGTATTAAAAATAAAAAAACATAAATACCTTATTTACATAAGTATTCAGACCCTTTGCTATGAGACTAAACATTGAGCTCAGGTGTATCCTGTTTCCATTGATCATCCTTGAGATGTTTCTACAACTTGATTGGAGTCCACCTGTGGTAAATTCAATTGATTGGACATGATTTGGAAAGGCACACACCTGTCTATATAAGGTCGCACAGTTGACAGTGCATGTCAGAGCAAAAACCAAGCCATGAGGTTGAAGGAATTGTCCGTAGAGCTCCGAAACAGGATTGTGTTGAGGCACAGATCTGGGGAAGGATACCAAAACATTTCTGCAGCAATGAAAGTCTCCAAGAACACAGTGGCCTCCATAATTGTTAAATGGAAGAAGTTTGGAACCACCAAGACTCTTCCTAGAGTTGGCCGCCCGGCCAAACTGAGCAATTGGGGGAGAAGTGCCTTGGTCAGGGAGGTTACCAAGAACCCGATGGTCACTCTGACAGAGCTCCAGAGTTCCTCTGTGGAGATGAGAGAACCTTCCAGAAGGACAACCATCTCTGCAGCACTCCACCAATCAGGCTTTTATGGTAGAGTGGCTGGACGGAAGCCACTCCTCAGTAAAAGGCACATGACAGCCCGCTTGGAGTTTGCCAAAAGGCACCTAAAGGACTCTCAGACCATGAGAAACAAGATTCTCTGGTCTGATGAAACCAAGATTGAACTCTTTGGCCTGAATGCCAAGCGTCACGTCTGGAGGAAACCTGGCAACATCCCCACGGTGAAGCATGGTGGTGGCAGCATCATGCTGTGGGGATGTTTTTCAGCGGCAGGGACTGGGAGACTAGTCCTTGATGAAAACCTGCTCCAGAGCGCTCAGGACTTCAGATTGGGGCGAAGGTTCACCTTCCAACAGGACAACAACCCTATGCACACAGACAAGACAACGCAGGAGTGGCTTCAGGACAAGTCTCTGAATGTCCTTGAGTGGCCCAGCCAGAGCCCGGACTTGAACCCAATCGAACATCTCTGGAGAGACCTGAAAATAGCTGTGCAGCGACTCTCCCCATCCAACCTGACAGAGCTTGAGTGGCTCTGCAGAGAAGAACGTGAGAAACTCCCCAAATACAGGTGTGCCAAGCTTGTAGCGTCATCCCCAAGAAGACTCAAGGCTGTAATCACTGCCAAAGGTGCTTCAACAAAGTACTGTGTAAATTGTCTGAATACTTATGTAAATGTGATATTTCAGTTTTTTATTTTTTATAAATTTGAAAAACGTTCTAAAAACCTGTTTTTTCTTTGTCATTATGGGGTATTTATTGTGTGTAGATTGATAAGGGGAAAAAACAATTTAATCAATTTTAGAATATGGCTGTAACGTAACAACATTTTGAAAAAGTCAAGGGGTCTGAATACTTTCCGAATGCACTGTATGAAATGAGATCTATCATAAAGCAGCCACAAAAGAAAAAATGCAAATGTAAAAATATGTTCTAATTGGAAACCTCAAAAAGAGAAATGGTTTGATGCTGAATGTGATCTTATAATGAAAAAGTGTAGATCTTTATCAAATAGAAAACATCACCAACCACAGGATTGAGACGTTCGGCAACAATATTGTGACACATTTAAAGAATACAAACAACACCTAAGATAGAAGAAATGGAAGCATTTTAAGAACACTCTGAAAGAGATTGAAGACTCCACTGATGGAAACCAGTTCTGGGAGAAATGGAATGGTCTAAATGGAAAACAGAGGAATAACCTAGCCATTCAAAATGGCAACATTTGGAAAGATCATTTGG